ACTCAAATAACAGGCAAAGCTATTATCAGATGAAGAGCCTACAAAATTAGATCAGTTAACAGTTAAAGGGAAAAGAATGTTTTGAATATCAAAGGGATTAAGAGCTGCCTTGGGAAAATTTGATTAAATTTTCAAATATTTTCTAGAAATATCTTCTTTATGATCAAAGATGAAATAATGACTGATATGCATATCATCATATGTTTTGGGGGAAATTATGACAAGAAAGCAGTTATAATTATAAACAAAATTTCATTAAATGTAAATTTTAATTTCTATAATTTTATTTCATCTTTTAAGATAAAGTTCCAATCAGGCTTTTTTTTTTCCTTTTTTATTATGAACCTTTGCTCCTCATTTTATACAAATTCCTTTAACTAATCTTTTCTTTATACCATTTATTCTTGGATGATGAGGACCTCTTATTTAATGTAATACCTTCAGCAAACATAAAATTCTTGGGAAATAATGCAACAAACTATCATTTGTCAAATACATAGAATAACAAATTCTGTGGGAAGTTAAGAGTCACCAAGGTAAGACTTCATAGAGGAAATACTGCTTAAGATGGGGCTTAAAAGATGAATAGGATTTTCATAGCTGGAGAAGAATAGCGAGGCATTTTTCAGAGGCACAGCGTACACCACAGTGTTGAGGAAGTGGCCACTAACTGTTAAGGGGGTAGTGGCTAGTCTATTTAAAGAGAATAGTTAGTATTAAAGAGTTATGGAAGATAAAGCTGGAAAGTAAAGGCAGAACCAAAGTATAGAGAACTTTGATTGACAAGCTTAGCTGATTTAACAGCCTTTTAAAGTTTAATTATTAGATTTTTTTTGAATTAGAAACATATTTGCTGGTTGTCACAAATGAAATAGTGCAAGGATATAGAAAACAAAAGTTAAGACAGCCGTATTATACTGTTAAGTGAAAAAAACATTGCTAAATGGTATATGATGTGATCCCATTTTTTGGTCAAACACACACACACACACACACGTTAGGCTAACCTAGAAAAGAAAGTATGTAGGAAAATATATCAAATTATAATGATATGATAAGAAAGCTTGATTTTTCTCTGTTATGTAGTTGTATGCTAGATTCTTTATACTTAGCATGTATTACCTTTCAATAAAAATAACAGCAGCTTGAAAGAATAGAGAATTTTAATATTCTGAATACTGACAGATAAATATTTTAAATCCAATACGTATATTAAAAGATTTTATAATCTCACTTTCTTGCATAGAATGTAATTAGAGAGAAGTTTCACAGAGACGCTTTATTTCTTCGAATCCCTTCCTGTTTACATCAAGAAGACAATTATCATGTAAGAGTCACTGATGATAAATTTAGGAGGCCCTGGACAAGAGGTACGTTTTAGTTTTATTTTTCAAAAATCTATTTTTAAAAATATTTCAGTGTTTAGCACAATAAGTTATTAAGAAAATGCAATGTTTTTCTCATTATTTAAAAAACCTGTTCATTTATTCATATCAGAATTCCAAGAAGTTTACAAATTAATATTTTCATGATAGACTTTAGATGATAAGGAATTGGAAAGCTTATACTAGGTATGAATAGAATGAATAAGAGATATGTGGATGATGAAGTCTTAAAAATTCTAACATTGTAACATTTGTTGTACTAGAATAGTATCTTGCTCAGTGTAAGAGGGCTTCTTTAAGTTGTAATGATACACTGAATATGGAACTATTTTTAAATGTATATGTACAAAGCATCATCTTTTGCTTTTATCATGTCATAAAACTTAAGGAAAAGTAGCCTCCATGGAGGAGTCAAGTCAGTTAACAACATTTATTTATCCCGTATTATGTACTAGGCACTGATACAGGTGCTAAGAACACAGTTACTAATTAAGACATAGTGGGTTTTCAGACTGGTAAGGAGAATGCAGCAATAAAACCACTGAATACATGAGCTACTATTTGGTATTGGTAAATGTACAGCAAAGATACACAGTGTAATGTGATATGAAATTTCAGGAGTAGGGAGTGCTATTTCCTAAGATGGTTAGGGTAGGGCTTCTGTGGAGAGGTGAGTATTTGAGTTGAGATCTGAATGGTGAGATGGCAGCAATCATAAAAACATACAGGAGAAAAGCCTTTCAAGCAAATGCAAAGTTCCTGACTCAGGAATAAACTTGATGTGTGTAAGGACCAGAAAATTGAGCCATTGTGGCCGATTAATGAAAAAAGGGGAGATCTGAGAAGTAGGCAGCTTTCGAAAGATAAAAGGTTTTGCAGGCCATGATATGGAGTATGTTTGTTTGTTCATATTATGGTTGGTGTGGTAAGTCACTGGACAGTTTTTTAAAAGGCAGTAACATAACCTGATTTATACATTGGAAAAATCATTCTGGTTGTTTGGAAGCTGGAAGGGGTAGGGATTGGGAGGCAAAAGTAGAGATAGGAAAATCAGTCAGGAAGCTACTGTAATGGTTCAGGATCTAGACTACTAGGCGAATCCATACATAAAGGATGATAGCTTGGGCCAGGCTTATAATAATAAAGAAGTGAGAAGTGGTTGAAATTGAGATTATTTTAGATTTTAAAATAATCTAAATTGCTTTAGATTATTTACTTACCCAACAGTAGGAGGATTTAAAAAGCAGAAGAATAAATACTTTCTTCTGGATTTTTGACCTGAGCAACTAAGTGAATGGCAGTGTTATTTCCTAAGATAAGGAAAGGTTTATGGGGAAGCCAGTTTGTGGCTGGAGTCAATAGCTCTGCTTTGGCCAGGTTAAAATGCATATTAGGCATCTAAGTGGAAACATCAAGAAGGCAATTGGTTATAGTAGTCTTGAGCACAGCTGGAATTTCAAATTGGAAGCCTCGATATATAGCTTGCATATTAATTTCGTGGAACTGGATAAAGCCACTGAAAGCATGAGTATAGATAGCTGAGAGCCTAGGACAGGGCCCTAGAACACTCCAACCATTAAAAGGCTATTATGGAAGGAGGAACCAGCTAAGAAGACAAGTGAGATAGGAAAACCAGAAGAGTGTGGTGTTGTAGAAATCTAAAGAAGAAAGTGTTTCAAAAAGGAAGAAGTAGTCAAAAGCATTGGTCCCTGTTCAAATGTCAAGTAAGTGAGTTGACCATTAGCTTAACTAACTATAGGTCATTGACAACCGTGGTAAGGGTGATTTCACTGGAGTATTGTGTACGAAAGCCTGATCAGAGTAGGTTGAGAAGAGAGAAGTGGGATGTAAGATGGTGATTACAGACAACTCTTTTGAAGAATTTTGCTATGAAGGTAAATAGAAAAATAGAGGTGCACTAGCTGAAGGCAGAAGTAGAGTAGAGAGAGGTTTTTTAGATGCGCAATTGAAAAAAATATATGTGTGATAAGGAAAGAGACTATAAAAGTGTTTATTTGCCAATGGAAATAATCTTGATAAAAAGAGAGAAAATGATGATGCAGGAAAGAAAATGGATAACTTATAAAAGGAGATAGTATCCAAAGCACAGTTGGAGGAGCTGATATTAGAAGCCAGGATGGTTCTTCCACTGTGATGGATAGGAAGGCAGGATTTGTAGGTACTCACGCCTGTAAGATGTTAGAATTAGTGGTGGAAGATGATGCTCTTCTCTGCATATATCGATTTTCTGTGTGGAGGCAAGGACACAGATAGAGAGAGGGTAGGGAAATGAGTATCAAAAGTTTGAGGGTGGAAAGTGTCAGATAGTTGTCTTGAAGAATGAGAAAGTCAGTTTTGTTAGGAAGGTATACTATTATCATCTGTCAATGTTAGATGCCCATTTTAAATTTATGGTCATAATTTGAAATGAGTTCATGCAGCATGGCTGGGTGATTTTTTTTTCCAAATAATTTCCAGCTGTTCTAGGGTACATACACAAAGTGGAGAGTAGAGGTTTTCCTAAGTTAGTATGAGGGAAAGAGAAGCAAGGGAATTAAGTCTTTGTAAGGGAGTGATTATGGGATGGTCATGGAACTAAACTGTATGAGAAAGGAAGTGAGGACATAAGAAAGGATGAATGTTGTAAAAATGGATGGGTCAATGGATTGAAGGTCTCACTTAGGTTGTAAATAAGATAAAGAGCAAATTTCATCAAACTGCTTCTCTAAACGTACAGAAGGAAAGAATGAGTTAATCATTTTTCTTACTTCTTTTCCTTTTCTTCTTTTTACAGATAATAATAACAATAACAAGCAAAATTTATTGGGCATTTATACTATGTCAGGCACTGTTCTAAGCAATTTACAGGTCTTATCACATTTAACCTTTACAACAACACTATGAAAAGGCCATTATTATTTCTAATTTGTAGATAAGAAAACTGAGGTAGAAAGAGGTTAAGAGATTTACCTAAGATAATACAGTTAATAAGAAGCAGTACAAGTATAAAATCTAGGTCAGGTGATTCCAGAACTTACATTCTTAACTACTAAACTTTCATATTTTTTTCAGTGAGGCATGCACTCAGATGTTAAGGGATTTATTCAAGGTAACAAAACTAGTAAGAGCTAACACTTAGGTAGAACACAGATCCTTTGACTATTCACCCAGTTGCTTCTTCTGAAGTTAATGTGTGACATGATCCCTCTCCTTAAGGAACCAAGAGTCTAATTTAGGAGCCAAGCTATCGATATACATAGAACTTTTAAATATGACTGTGTATGATTAAGTACTGAGTGAGTGCTACTGACAATATTATGACCTTTCAAGGGGAATGTATCAGAGTGAGCTGGAATGGTAAATAAAGGCTTTATGAGGAGTCACATGAGCTGTTGAACAAGATTATCTGGGATGGTAGTGCTGTATAAGCAAAAGAGAGGCTGTAAAATGAGGGTGGTATGTTCAGGTGATATTGTTCTGACTGTAGTTGAGGGTTTTTGCAGGGGACAGGGGTTCATAATAATGAGAATGATGATTTAAATATTTGGAATGTGGTATAACTTTGGAAAAACTTACAGCTGTGAACAAATAAAGATAACACCATGATGTAAAAGGTGAATGTTTGGCTTCCTTGTATTAAGTGTAAAAGAAAATTCTAGAAGCTAATGTCAATCATTCTCCTTTGTAGTCTCGGCTGTTTCATTTTCGGGAATGACGGATATCTCAGTCTTGGATCAATGGAAAGCAAGTCTCTCTGTGGAGGATTTCCTTGAGAAGTATGTGTCCCTAATTGCAAATTTCCCCTTTACGTCTAGAAGATGAACAGTAAGTTCTCCAGACACCTAAAGAGAGAATACCCCATCCTTTATATCCTCACAGGTTTTCTTTCATCTGAAGAAGAAGCCCTAATGTGAACCACAAAGGAGAGGTTAATAGAAATGATTTACATCCTCATTTTTATCTTTTTTCCTCATTTATCACAGATTAACAGTGCTCTATGCATTTGTATCACAAAAGACAGAAATAAAGCAAAGATGCTATTATGCTTTTAACAATAAGTGAACTTTTCTGTAGAGAGTGTCTACAGAAAATTCTTTATATTAAAATCAGTGTCTTCTCCTGTAGTATAAATGCAGTTTTAAGGCTATTTTCTAACATACTTTGTCAGAATGTTGTTTGTTATTAGTTCAGTCATTCATCAAATATTTATTGGATATCATTCTGTGGGCTGGATATGGATAAAAAAATGAGTAAGACACAGTCTCTGCTCTTAAAGAACACAAGAAAATAAGCAATCAAATTTTATAAATAAACAATTACAATAGAACATGGAAAGTACAATGACAGAGATAAAAATGCAGAGCGTAATATGAGAAAGAACATCTAAACCATTCTACATTGTTCATGTAGACATAAAGTAGAGATTTCAGTGCAAATATAAATAATTTACTCTGTTGCTTCACTTTGTGCAAAGAGTGTTGATCAGACCCAGGAAGGATTTAGTTATTGTTCATATTTTCAAGTTTCAGTGACATAAGTTCTCCTTTGTTGTGCTTGAAAGAAACAACCAATTTAAATGTGTGCAGACAGTAAATATAGAGAAGCCCAATATACTATTCCTGGTTTATAGGAATTTAAAAATCAGGCTATGAAGATAATGTATAAACAGAAAAAGTTAACAATGTTAAGAATTAAATGATAATATAAAATGGCTGTCATAAGGTCTATCACAAGGTATAAGACCAAAGCAAATTATCTATCACATGACTAAACTGCAGAGCACTAAGGAAACAGAAAAGTATAGTGAGAAGAGCTCTCCAGCCATCTGACATCCCAGGTGGGGTGAAGGGCTAGAGGTTGAATCAGCTGCCAATGACCAATGATATAATGAATCGCCTATGTAATGAAGCCTTCCTTAAGGCTTCCTTAAGCTTTCCAAAAGTCCCTTATTAACATAACCAAAGATAACTTTATTGCTCTCATCACTTAGGAATTTCCAAGGGCTTTTGGAGCTCTGTGCCAGAAACAGAAATGAAGACCAAATCTCTATTTCTTATTATAAATCACATTGTCACCCATATAATATGTGATCTTTTGTGACTGGCTTCTTTTACTTAGCATAATATTTTGAAGGTTCATCTATTTTGTAGCATGTATTAGCACTTCATTTTTTATGACCAAATAATATTCCATTATATGGGTATACCACATTTAATTTATACATTCATCATGTGAATGGGCATTTGGGTTGTTTCCACTTTTTGGCTATTATGAGTAATGCTGCTATAAACGTTTGTGGACAAGTTTTTGTGCAGACACATGATTTCATTTCTTTGGTAATGGGAATTGCTGGGTCTTATGGTAACTCTGTGTTTAACTGTTTAAGGAATTGCCAGACTATTTTCCAAGCAGCTGTACCATTTTATGTTCCCATAGCTGATATAAAGGTTACAATTTATGTACATCTTGCCAATAGTTGTTATCATCTATCTTTTTGACTATATTCTAGTGTGTGGCTCATTGTATGTCATTGCAGTTTTCATTTGCATTTCTCTGTTGGTTAATGATGTTAAACATCTTTTCATGTAATTATTGGTCTTTAATTTATCTTCCTTGGAGAAATGTCTTTTCAAATCCTTTGCCGTTTTTTAATTGGGTTATGTGTCTTTTTATTATTGAGTTTTAAGAGTTCTTTACATAGTCTAGATACAAGTCCCTTATTAGATGTGTGATTTAAATACTTTCTCCTGTGGATTCTTTTTATTTCCTTGATGGTATCCTTTGAAGCACAAAATTTTGATGAAGTTCAATTCGTCTACTTTTTCTTTTGTTACGTGTGCTTTTGGTGTCATATTTAAGAAGGCTTTGCCTAAACTAAAGTCACAAGGATTTACTCCTGTATTTTCTTCTAAAAGTTTGCCTTTGATTTGTTTTTAAAGACACAAATCAGATCATGAAATATTTTTGTTATAACCCACCACCAGGTCTTACCAAGTCCTGTAAGTGAGTTGAAATTTTTTTTTCTTGTACATTGTATTTTCTTAAAGAATAAATTATAGAGATTTTTCTATATACAGTTTTAAGTATGAAATATTTATTATTTTCTCCAATTACATTGGGGAATTATATTGATTTTGGTTTTTTCAGTCTCTGTAGGGAATTATAAAGTCTAAAATATTTTAGGATATCAGGAAAAAAGGTATATCATAATGTGTACCTGAATTGCCAACAATATATTTATCTGTTGGAAAATTCAGTAGAAAGATCTCTTGTTAAGTCAGAATATCCCAATGGTGTAGACAATGGCAGATATATCTGGATCAATCAGGAAACAGGCAAGGTACAGGCAAGGTCAAGGAAGCCAAAAAAAAACCAAAAACAAAAATCCCAGGACTAGCAACAGCTGGAAGTTGTTACCACCCTAAACTTGAATGAGCAAGAGGACTGAGCAGTAAACAGCACAGTAAGAACTGCAGCTGTGGGAGAGAGGCTGATAAAAGATGTAACTGTTGGTGGAACCATGCAGCCACGTCTCCAAACTGTGGCCCAGGAGGAAAGATTCGGGAAGAATAATGTTTCCATCTGTCTCTTTTCCCACCTTGATCTCCTGCAAATGCTTCCCATTGGCTGAACCCATCCAGAAGCCAGGGAAAGGGAGCTTAGTTGGTTCTTAGTAAGCTCAGTCTCCCAGGTTGCGGAAAAGAATATAGAAGTTTGGATAATGATATGGAAAAGCAGACATTGAATATTCAGTGCAAGGGCAATTTGGCAATGCTTGGCAAAGTCTCAAAATCTTTATATCTTTAACTTCATTTCCACTCTTAGGAAACTTATTTTGAGAAAATGATTAAACAAACGCACAGATATTCCTTGCACTGTTGCTCATAATAGCAAAAAATTACAACAAATTTAAATTTCCAATAATAGGGAACTGATTGAGTAAATATTATTTACCAGTACAATGGGATCTTGTTCATCCACTCAAAAATGAAGTGAATGTACATTGATTGACATGTAAATGTGCTCATGCTTCTTGTTTAGCAGAAAAGAATAGGTTACAGTATACTATGTTCATTCACTTTTGTTTAAAAATACTCAAAAATAGTTGAGAAAATATGTAATTTTTAAATTCTTCTCTTGAATGGTGGGGCTATGGATAATTTTTCACTAACTGTTGAAATTTGGTAATTTTCTACAATGAAAAATTTCTGTTTATAAATAAAAATGTTTTAAAATAGGAGATACATAAAATCAGTAATTTTATGTCATAGAAGAACAGCTACAGGAATGATGACCCAGTTTAACTGTGAATTTGAGGAAATTGTTCCAAGTTCAAACCCAAACTCCCAAACTGAAGTAGAGGAAGTCAGCTTACATACCCATAAGGACTACAATGAAGACTTTACACTTGTCAGCTGCTTAGAAAAGTGTCCAGCACTTCAAAAACAGGAGCAAGGTAAAACATTTGTTATTTCCACTGTTACAAAACATTCTTACTATTACACAGATTTTCATTTCAGTGATGTTTTTGTTTTATTAGATTTAAAAAATTTTTTTATTGTATTAAAGATACCCACCTGCAAAATTATACTTCTTTAAATTACTGGTGTTCATTTGCATATTTTTATATTGTGAAGTGATTCTTTTTTGTCTTTTTCTATTCTTATATTTTATTTTTATATATCAAAAATATCAATAACTCCAAATGTATTTAACTTGAACCTAACCAATCCTGTCAGTGTTTCTTTTAGGGTTTCTTTCATTACCTTTATACTTGGGAACTTCTTCCTTGAATTAGATAAATATTATTCATATTTTATTTAATGTTTTCTTTAAGGTTTTGGTGTATGTATAAAAGTAAGAATAAAAATGTTTGTTTCCGAATGTTTTGGCAGTTGTCCCAATACCATTTATGGAATAGTTTTTCCTTTCTCCACTGATTAGAAATGCCGCTTATATCATATGCCACATCCTTAGCCACATTATAGTTTGTTTCTGGATTTCCTATTATGTCGAAATATTATACAGTTTAACTATTTAGTACACAGGTATAACATGTATTAATAGTCTCCTCTTTTTTTCCTACTCTCACATTTATATTCTTTCAGATTTACTTTTGTAATCAGTTTTTCAAGTTTCCAACAGATCTCTTAAGAAATTGAAATGTTACTGGCACCTTTTAAAATTTTTACCTTAGTTAGTCTTTAGCTGGGAAAATAGTTTATCTTGCCTTTTCTTCAAGTTTTTTTTTTTTAAATAGTGATCCTCATTAGTGTTTTATGGTTTTCTCCATATACTTTCTACATTTTTATTATGTTTATTCCTCAATATTCATATGCTTATGGCTATTATGAATAAGTTATTCCATTAATTTATGATTAGGGCTTTAGATATACTTGGAAACCACTGATTTTATAATTTTTATAAGACACTTCAATGAAATCCTTTATTTGTTTTCATTTAGTTATCTTGGGTTTTCTAAGTAGACAAAAGTATCTCCTGCAAAGAATAAACCTATTTTCTTTTTTGTCAGTAGACCTCTTTTTTTCTGCTTCTTTTCAGGGTTAACTAGCCAAAATTCTGTTTGCTCATGACAATTTAACACTCCTCTACAATAAAAGAAAACAGCCTCCTCATATCTGAGTTGGTACATATACTAGTGGTAATAAAGTAAGAAATTCAGGGTATACTTTATAGCCGTAAGAATATACATAGCACCATTGCTAGAACCACTTTTGTATCGTTTAAAGAACATTGGTTGTGGTGGGATGCTGCCCTCAAGCGGCTTCATCAAAAAGGAGAGGTTGGAAAACGAGACCTCATAACTGATATGAGACGTCCCCATGGACTCCCAGAAATACCAAGATGAGCCTGTAGGAAGGAAAGACTGCTAGATGGTCTATGTTTGAAAGTGGAAGGTGGAGATGGGGTTACAGATGAATGCTGTTTGGGTTTTGCTATAATATGACTTCATTAATATTTACAAAATGACTGTACAAGTGAACCATCTTTAAATTGTCTCATATTAAACCCTGCTTAGACATGGAATTGATTGGCTACCTTTCTCTGGTGTATCATGGGAAGCTCTTGGCCACAAGATTGTCAGGAACTTACAGGTTCTGATAAAGAATCTCTGAGGCTAGTTTACATAACTAGTTCTCTTTTGGCATTTTAAGTTAGCATCAGGCAAAGGAATGGTCCCTGCCTGCCTGCTTTACACCACATAATTATTAAGCACATGCATACCAGTGATGTAGTGGGTCATGGGAGACATCACTTCATGCCATACCGCTCTCATGCCATTCTAAAATTACTTAGCTGAAAGGACGTTGCCCAGAACAGAAGACCATTGCTTCCGCTTGGAGCTGGCTTTTGCTTTGGGGAGGTTGGTTTTCTGAGTAGTTCTTCATCTGAGCCTACATTTTCCTTTTTCTCTTTCCATTCAGAGATTATTGGAGAATGGGGGTAGGTTTTATATACCCTTCTTCGGCTCAGAAACTGTTAAAGCACTGACACAGTTAGCTAAGATTCTAAATTAGCCCAAACATGGTAGGTTGGGGATACAGAGAAGACACCTGTTCCAGCAGTTAACTGTTAGCAATAGTGTTTCCTAATACATGAGCTATATCACACTTCTCTAGTAGACACTTTGCTGTATAACTTTCACTGTAATTAATTTTATAACAAATGCATTTGAACAATTTTAGAGTGCTAGAATCAGAGCTGGTCTCATTTGTGGGCTTTACAGATCATCTCCAGTCCCTACATGTCAGTCTCTGGGGATAAACTGGAGACCTAAGAGATAAAATTATGCAAAAGAAAAGACTAAGTTCGTCAAAAGTCAAATTTTATTTCTTTACAGTTTTGCTGAGGCTAACCTTGGCTATTTTGAGACATAAGACCACAAGAGATTTTCCTCCACTGATTAGATTACATTAACTTTGTTGGAAAAAAATATGAGCTATTACAACTCTTTCAGGATATTTGGTTACTACTCAGTGTACTAAATAATATTAAACTTTATTGAGCTTTTACCTATGTACCAGTACTATGCAACATGCTTTATTTGCAGAATACAGTGAAGAACTAAATAATCTAAAATGTATTTGCAAACCCCAACGGTATTTAATGGCTGACTACAGTAATTATCTAGATCCTCTTGTATAACCTTTAGATTTTTTCTTATTCCTTTATATTTCTTATTTATTTTCAGATTTCTTGATTGATGCTGAAGAAATAATTTTTGTAAATAATCTGACGGCCTATAAAAGCCAGCTGCCAACTGTGCGTACTCTGTTGAGTAGACTAAAGCAATATTTAGTAAAAGATCCCTTGTTAGATTTCAAAGGACAGATCTTCACAGACACTAATTTTTTCAGGTATTTGATTACCCGATGTAGTAAATATTTTTGAAGAGAAGAAAATATTCTTTGTATGTTCACAAGTCTAGATGTTGTTAGTCATAATATTTTATCATTGCTTTACCTCAACTCTTAATTTTAATTGCTATGCATTTGATTGGCTACATTTAGTACGTAACTTGCTTTTAGTAAACACTAATTTAATGTTTTATTTTTTTGTCAAGGGAGAGTTTCTCTTTTCAAGGAGATTTGAAAGATTTTGTGAAAGATTTCTGTATGGATAAGGAAAACTTTTTTCCAGACAAGCTAGAAGACACAGTAGGTTTAAATGAAGCTGTAATGTTTGCTTTCAGTAATTTTAAAATAGAAGTTAGTAAATCACGCTTTTATAAATTGTAGTAATATACATTTACCATCTACTATTGTAAAGTTTAAAAGACTCAATACTGGATTAAACATGTATCAGTTAAGAAGTCAAATTTACTTCCAAGATAGTGGTTCTAAACCTTGGCTACATATTAGAATTACTTGGAAAATTTTATTAAAATACTGAAGTCTGGATCATACCCTCATATATTCTGGTTTAATTGGTCTAGTATGCAGTCCAGGTATAGGGAGTTTTAAAACCTCTCCCAATCATTTTAATATACCTGGTATAGGACATTAAGTGGCCATATATATATTAGCCTTAAGGCATTTAAAGGTTCTTTTTTTACAAATAAAAATTTTAACACACATGGTAAAAATATTAATTCACCTATTAGCCCCTTTCCTCCCATCTCCCTTTCCCTCCCCCATTAATTTTGAGAATTATGCACATGCACTCTCACTTGTTGAAGAATCCAATTCTGTAGGAATGAAAGAGAAATGTATTCCATGGAATGTAGTAAAGATCCATTCCATCTACTCTTTTTACTTCTCATTCACCATCTGTCATTTGTTGCAGTGATTGTTTTTAACTTAGAATTTTGAAAATTTGTTGTTAGCTCAAAAGAAGACATTTCTGCATCTAGGGGTAGTGTACACCACTAATGTAATCAGTAGCCATGAAAGACATTACTTAGAGAGAACATTGCTTGTAATAGATTTTTAGCTGCTACACATACTTTTTAAATAAAATGTATGTAGAGCATTAAAATTTTTAAGTGTGGGTTTAGTTTAAAATTTGGTACATCAGTTAAGCAAATATGTCTATTTATGAATTCAGAAATATTTGTTTGGAATACCTCACTAAAAACTTGTTTTACCAATATATTATTTCAGCCATCAATTATGCCTGAGTGTGAATTCTTAATGCCTACAAGCCTCAAACAAGAAGTTGATATTCCATCACTCTCAGAAATAAAGGAGTCATTAAACTTAATACCTGAAACAATAAATTATGTAGATGAAAATGAAAAGCTTTTCAAAAGAGGTGAGAATTAAATTAAAAATCTATTACTTGTAAAAACTACTTAATAATGTTAGTTATAAAAATTCTTTTTTCATTAAACTTTCTTCTGAACCTCCAGATTTTTAAAAATATCCCACATCAATAAAAATTCTGAGACTCTTTTCTCATTGTCTTCTCTTTATACATTGCAAGCTTAAAACATCTCTGAAATTAATCTAACCATTTCAAAATAATTATACAAATAGAGCTGAAACACCTACCACTATACTAATTTTTTTGAGTTGTTTTCTTATATACAGTGACAAAACACTAACAACTTTTATGCTGACTTCAGAGGCTCAGAATAAAGTTATGATTCATGGAATTAGATGACTGAGAGAGTCACAACATAGAATTTAGATGGCTTCTTCCCAGTTAGACTTAGTAAATATTGTTGAAGTCTTCTAGCCTAACTTAAGCCCAGATATTTAACCGTCCTCTCATAAACTCCAGTTGAAATGATCAAAGATATATAATATAAGGGAGGAGTGAAAGGGGATTTGTGATTTCCGTTGAGAATAGGGATACTTGCCATCAACAGACCACGGACTGAAAGGAAATCTTGCAGACAAGACTAGATCAAGGGGATTACCGATCAGCCTACAAGTCAAGCAAAGTAATGAAAAGCCAACCTGAGTAAGTGGATCAAATTCAGACCAGAACTTGAAAATCTAGCAGAGCTCAAAACTGCAGGTGGCCGGTGTTAGCAGAACAGAAATCTATGAATGCTAATGGAAAGGAGAGGTAACTGCTGAATGACTGTAGTGTTACACTCCTAGCCATCACTTGTCTTTGATGGTATACTCAATAAAACAGAGTCATTGCTACAGAGGGATGAACAAGATTACAGAAAAACTAGTATTGTAGTACTTTTGCTGACAGTCCTCTTCTTTTTAGATCTTACTACGAAGTATGGAATAGATACTGAGGATATGAAATGCAGCTCCACAGAAATTTTGGCCATTCAGAGCCAATGTGAACCAGAGTGCAGTGAACCAGGTAGAAATTTTGAATAAATCCTTGAGTTTATCAGGGGATACCTATATATGATGTAAAGGTACACTACATTCACCTATAAAGTCTACTATGAGACAGTTTTAATGTTTAAAACTTCATTATTGCAATCCAAGTTGTTTTTTCTCACCTATCCCTTTACATTTGTTACTATTATTAACATCCATCTGGCATCAAAACTGAGTAATATATAGAGGATAGTTACAAAGATAGAAGAGGAATGGAGCACATAGCATTAATGGTAAAAATAAAATCTTAGAATTTTATAGCTCGATAAATAAAATTTTGTTTTATCTCAGTATTGGCAGTCTTGCTGACCCTTGTCACACTTTTGTAAATTTAACTTTTTAAACCCCAAAGCAATCCTATCATTGTTATTGTGAAGATTACTGTCCTACCAATTTGGAATCTCAATATCAGTTTTTGTTCCAGTGTAATGCCATATTGTGTTGCTCCCTAACTAAGTTGATGATACTGTTACTTAGTTATATTTGTAACTGGATCATATAAATCATCTATTTGGAAGTTTACTGCTTTATTTATGAAAGTGATAAAAACGCACTGACTGCTTATGATAAATGAGGATTAGTTTTTCAAGCCTACCTTATAAAAATATAACCCTCTCTCTAGACCCCAGACTTATTAAGGTGAAGGATTACTCTCTTAATACTATTTGCTCAACATCATCAGTATTCAGGATGAAGACAAAAATAACACTGTCTCCTAAGTACTGACAACGTAAGTTGTCAGAATTAAAAACGTTATTACACATAAAGTCTTAGAACTTATATGGTAAACTTAATAAAATTTAGCTGTCAGTGTAGTCTTTAAAAACCACCACTATCATAGTTGAAATACCATGTGATATATGTGTAATCCTTTATACAGATGGAAATTTAAAGGTTTTATTTTGTATTTCAAATTTAATCCAAATTTCTTTTGATTGAAACTTTTTGTTGCAATAGAATGATCAAACATACCACTTTTATCTATTGCTTACGAAGAGTTATGGATTATACATAGTTTTATTCAACGTTTATGTAACATGATTTGTAAACTTTTTGTGTATTCTAGTAGAGTTAGAAATGCCATTAACTCATCTACACTTAACAAACCAACATGCTTCAGTGAATTCATTATGTACAGAACTTCAGACGTTTCCATCTTCTCCTGTTTGTGAAATGTAAGTAAAGCTGTTTGTAAAATGTAAGTAAAGATTGTATCTAGAACTCAAATTGCAATTCAGAACAAGCAATCTTTAATTAAATCTCTCCATATAAAGTCAATTTCCAAGCTATCTCTGTGAAAAAAGTAAGAGATAGAACAGAGTCTATAGTAAACAACTGAAACGAATATATGAATGTGTATGTACATAATTGGTTTTCTGTTTAAAGAATAGCTTTCAAAGCACACAACACAAAAATCAGGTAACATTGGTTGAGTCCAAAAGGATACTGGGTAACCCGGCAGAAAGGGAGCTAGTAAGTGTTAGAGCCAGGTTCTTCTATGCTTTGAGTATTTTGAATGTGAATATATTACCACTAAAAATAAACAACTTGAGCTGCTCTCCCTTCTGAGTAAAATGACCCGCATTCTGCCTATGGAACGTGTATCTCCTAGGCCCCTCTCTTGCTCTCTCTTGCCTTCTAAGACAGCTGGCACTCTATTTATGGAGCATGTATCTCCCAGAATACAAATACCTTCACTCTAAAAAATAAAAATGAAAATGAAAAAAAAACCAACTTGAAAATTTAAATTTTAAATTTAAACAATTGTTTAGGACATTGCCACTGGATGCTTGACAATGGCACCGCCTCTGTTGGCACTCACTGCCATGAAATACAGTATAGTGGTATATTGGGATGCTGGGGCTGCCATAACAAATACCATACACTGGGTGGTTTAAACAACAGAAATTTGTTTCTTCACAGTCTATGGAGGCTAGAACTCCAAGATAAAGGGATCAGTAGGGTTGGATTCTTTCTGAGGCTCTCTCCTTGGCTTTTAGATAGCTGTCTTCTCCCTTTGTCTTCATATGGTTTTTCCTCCATGCATGTCTATGTCCTAATCTCCTTTTCTTTAAAGGACATCAGTTATACTGGATTTGGGCCTACCCTAATCACCCCATTTTAACTCAATTACCTCTTTAAAGGCCCTGTCTCCAAATAGTCATTCTAAGGTACCAAGAGTTAGGGCTTCAACATATGAATTTTGGACAGGACACAATTCAGCCCATAATAAGTAGTTAAGAGCCCTGAGCTAGAGTCAGATTGCCTATCATTTACTAGTGCTGTGACCTTAATTGCCCTGTGCCTCAGTTTCCTTATGTGTGATACTGGGATAATAATAGTATATACCTGGGGTTATTCTGAGGTCTTCTAAAAAGATTTGTCATAGCCCTTTGACCAGGAATAGTCAAGAATCAGAGAGCAGTATGTTCAGTGGTTGCTCAATAGATTTGACTGTCAACCTATTCCCCTAAGAGTACCAGGGATCACATCCCATCGCTAACAGAGACATTCACTGACACTGTTTACCTCTGTCAATGTGCTATTGGTGTTGGGGAAACCAGACATGTAGAACCAAATCTGTTCAGTACCCTACTGTTACTGCACAGAATGGTCTGTAATCTTCTCAGAATTGATATTGCAAGGTTGGATCGTCATATTATAGTTTGAGGCAAAATTGCATAGCTTAATAACCCAGCATTTTTGTCCTCTAATAGAGTCTGAGATAGTTTTGGTTGCTATCTTATACCATATGGCATACCTGCAATTTAATGTCTTTTATGTTAGATTAGTCTGCCATCCTAGAATAAAGTCATCCCATTCCCCTACTTCTTATACTAGTTACACAACTAAGAACACAACCAGAACAGCCCCCTTCTCCCCTACTGTAAGCCTGGAACTTAATGTATCCTAAAATAACACATTTTAAGGAAAACTACAAGTCTACAAATACATTATTCCCAGAGTGGACACTGTGGGAGCTGTGTGTGGGGTTTTGAGTTCTTAGCTATGATTGGCTGATCTGCCAGAGGAGAATGCTGTTGGGTCACCAGAAGCAACTGGAGCATCTCATCACTAGCTGCTCAGGCTTCTATTAATGGTCTCAGGAAGGTGTCACAATGTAAGATGGAGGAACCTGGCACTGAAGGCCCCAGTTAGCTTCATCTTCTGGCAAAGGGGTATTTCCCTTGAGGGGTCAATTTGTGCTATACAGACATCTACCGTGAACTAGAACTGCCCATATCAGATCATGAGTGCTAAAAAACTAGCATGGAATGAGTAAGAAACTATAATTTGTTTAAATATTTTTAGTCCCTTTGCTAAGGTGCAAGATGTTTATCTGCAAGACCTATACGTTTTTGGTGTGCTCTTTTACTCTTATTTTCTCCATATACCCTAATCCATCAGTTAAGGCAGATTGGCAATTAGAAACAGAAACCAGCAGAAATTAGTATAATCTTGAATTTCAATCTGTACTGAAAGTATTTACTTAAACTATATAATAAACTTTTTAATCACACAAGTTATATATCTATTGTTATAATTCAAATATCTAATGAGAATTTATTGAACTTTTTAATCTGTGAATTGTAATATGCCAAAGTTAGAACAAAAAGGCTTTTAAAATTAGCCAGAAGTTCTAGTGTCATTTGAAACAATTTAAAAGAAATTGTCTCATCACTGGCAAGACGAAAATCATTTCTGTTGGTTAATGAATATAAAAACTTAAAAATCCCTATTTTAAAAACAGATTTACACCTCAACTATGAAACTAAAAACAAAGGGAAATAGTATTTAAAAAAACACAAATGGAGGGGAAGGGTATAGTTTAGTGGTGGAGAGTGTGCTTAGCATGCACAAGGTCGTAGGTTCAATCCCCAGTACCTCCATATAAATCAATCAATCAATCCTAACTACCTACCCCCCCCAAAAAAAAGAGGGGAAAAAAAACTGAAAGGAAAAATAATATATAATGTTACTGTACTCTTAACTTGCTTCTATGGCCCACATTACTTTTATTTCAGAACACAACATTTTGGCTGGAAATATACCCGGTTAACAAATATTTTTAGTGCCTACCACATGTTAAACTCTATGCTAGATTTTATGGTGCTAAAAAGAAAAGTCTGTGTGGTATAAGTCTTTATTTCCATACTAACTGATTACTGAATTGTGAACATATTTTTATATATAACCGAAGAATGTATCAAATTCAGACATATCTTCAGAGAGCTTCATTAAGAATGAGAGTATTTGTCTATATTGTGGTCTCATGCTGGATGTAGCTTGTCTAAACATTTCCCCTTCCTTTCACTTTAAAACAATTGCCTACAATCTGAGGTATCTAGGTGTCAAAGAGAGCTTGGTAAGGTTCAAGAATAGTCTAGATTCTCAAATATTGCCACCACATACCAGATTATGTGGGTAAATTGATGATTTAGTCATAAAACCTATCAGTCTACTATTGCCTAGAACTGTCAATTTAACTAGCAGTACTAATAATTAGCATGTTCATATATGTTCCGTGTGAACAGAGAAACAGGATACTATCAGTTCTCACTTAGGAGGGTGTGGGAGGTTTGGGGCATAGATTAAAGGGTTTGTGAATTAGTGGTCTCTTCCCTCCCAAAGCTAGTAACTTCATAGCTGCTAATGAGCTGTATTTACTGATTTATACTGATTGTCATGCATATTTCCTCCCTTCTCTCCTCGGCACCCCAGAACACACAGACACACATCACTCACTCACACACACACACCAAGACTGAAGGACCTGAACTAAATTTTAGAACCTGTCTCTTCTTGAGAAGGTAGAGCAGACAGAATATTCTGATCCTCAGCCAGTAGAAGCTCCAGAAATTCGGTTTAGAATGGACTTGGGACCAGCAGGTTTGTAAAAATTTGTGTTGAAGCTGCCATTTTGTATGGTAAGCACAGTAATTTTATGTAAATTGTACTTCTATTGTGGATGGCTTGTAGGGTTGGTGCTATCACGGATTATGGAAGGAAGTACCAAAACCCTCCCAAGTCAGCCCCCTCTGGCTCCAGGTTCCATTGAAGGAAATAGTGTTAGGAGGAAGTTACAGGTAAGCAGGAACAGTTCAGGAGCTGACAAACTGCCAAACCTCCCCAGGAGAGACTAGTAACTTTTGTTACTAGTAAGTAAGTACCAGGAAGTAAGCATTTGAAATTTTGTCTATGGAACTCTCTACTTCCGTTTACATATTTATAAGATAAAATTAATTTTTGAGTGTAAAAAATACTTAGAAAAATACTTTTCTTAAATTTGTATTATGCAAAAAGACTCAATATAATTAATGTATTAAACTTTAACTCTTCTTTTTCAGTAGTTTGCCTACTGCTGAAGAATCAGCTAACAAACACCGTATGATGTGGCAATCAGAAAGCTGCAGAAACTCTTTGAATCCATTTTTGCTTAATGGTAAGGATTAATTGATTTTGAATGCTAAGTAGAAAGTATAGATGAAAAGGTACAATCAGTAGAAATGTATTGTCAGTATTATTATTATTATTATTATTGTATTATTATTATTATTAAAAGCATTGTCTTTATAAAAAGTATAGTTCTAAAATTAGGATTTCAAATTTACAATCTTTATTTTGAGTTGCTGCTTATAATGCAGATAATAATATAATGCAGTTGTGCTATTTCAGTTCCTCCATATAATATTCTGTCCCTATTTAGACTAAAAAGTAATGAAGCAGAAATATCTAAATGATAGTTATGATAAATCTGTGGCACAATATCTAAAATGATAGTTATGATAAAATCTGATCAAATATATCTTCTTGTCTAGGTTCATTATAATGAATTAAAATTTCTGATTGAATAAATCTTACATTCATTCTTCAAAATGTTATCAAATGTATTTAATAATTACTAAAATTGTCAAACAAAATAATAGTTTCATCTCCTACTAAATATTAGAATAGTTTTAACTTCATGATGTTTCAATATGTTCAAATCAATCCTTTATGTGACCTCTGTTACTATAATACTTTGGACTTATTTACAAATATTAACATATTGAAGATGAAATACTAGATAACACATCACTTCACTTTTTCCTCTAATTTGTAAAAAAATCTGTTTTTAAGAAATTTCCAATGTGGTTCTGTTTACTGTGTTTTCTCATCTTTTTTGCCCTGTGGATTGTTTCTCACTATTCGTTTTTTCGTTTGTTATGGTTTTTGAAGCACCAAGAACTGAAGATCCCAAGAGTCAACATTCGGTTGCAGAGTTGAAACTCTATTCTGTTAGAGAAGAAAATCTTATGGTTAATCCTGAAAACATAGAGGGATGGAAACAAGCTGAACTAAATCTGACTGTGACAGAAACTTTGGAGCATCTAAATACATGTTTGTATCATAATAATCTATTTTCTGATGATGATGATTGTATCATAATAATCTATGTTTATAATAATCTATGTTCTGGAGATATTTTTGCCTACAAATGCACTTCAGTTAGAATGTAAGTACATAATAGTAAGTATCACTGGTGTAAACATTTTCAGAATGAGAAAATGTTAGATACTGGCTTTCCGTTAGGTGACTAGGAAAATATAACCAAATTTCAGCATTCAATATTAGCTCTGGCTCTGCCAGAATTTATTACTTTGACCTTCACTAAGCCCCATTTTCTTCCTTGAAAAAATGAGGTTTGATCAACTAATCCTTAAATCTCCTTCTGTCCTAAAATTCTATAGTCTCAGCTTTAAATTTCTAGCCATTTTCAATGAGTGACTTTGTTTCCTTTTATAAACGATTAATTTCTAGCCCATTTTCTGTTTACATCAGCCTAAATACAAACCAGCACTGTTATTTTTTGACCTGACAGCTGAGATTTGTGTCTAATATCTAGTAATTATCTCTTCAACAACAGAAAATCTTACTTTGTTACCAAAAAGTTTACTAATTTAACTTTTTTTACTTACACAATTTAAGAAGGCAAAAATGTCTTTTAAGTATCCCTTTTGAGTTAATTTTTTTTCTTTTTCTAGTATTTTATTTAGGAACTTTATATTTATGTTCATAATTTTCACTTTCTTTTTTCTGTCCTCATATGGTTGATTTGTTTTTTCTTTCTTTTTCTTTTTATTGAGATATAATTGATGTACAGGACTCAGTTTAAGGTGGAGAACATAATGATTTGACTTATATACAGGATGAAATGATTATCACAATAACTTTAGTAACCATCCCTCATCTCACATAGATAACAAGATTAAAGACATAGAAAACAAGTATTTTTCCTCATAATAAGAACTCTCAGGATTTACTCTCTTAACAACTTCCATATATAAAATATAGTAGTGTTAATTATATATATCATGCTGTACATTGCATCCCTGGTACATATTTATCTTACAACTGGAAGTTTATACCTTCTGACTGCCTTCATCCACTTCCTCCTCCCCCAACTCTTGCCCCTGGTAACCACAAATCTCATCTCTTTTTCTGTAAGTTTGTTTTTGAAGTATGACTGACTTTATAACACCATGTAGGTTCCTGTTACATAACATAGTGATTTGGATACTTCTGTACATTTCAAAATGGCCACGACAATAAGTCTAGTTACTACCTGTCACCATACAAAGTTGTTATTATTGGCTGTGTTCCCCACACTGTACATCTTCCTTATCCATTCATATTTTGCTCATAACATCTCACCTATTTCTTTCCTTCCCCCAACACCACTCCCCTCTGGTAACCATTTGTTTGTTCTCTGTTTCTGTAACTCTTTCTGTTTTGTTGTGTCTGTTCATTTGTTTTATTTTTAGATTCCACATATAATTGAATTGCACAGTATTTGTCTTTCTCTGACCGACTTATTTTACTTAGCATAATACCCTCTGTATTCATCCATGTTGCTGCAAATGGCAAGATTTCATTTTTTTATGGCTGAGAAATGTTCCTGTGTGTGTGTGTGTGTGTGTGTGTGTATGTGTATACACACTACATCTTCCTTATCCATCCATATTTTGATGGGCACTAAGTTACTTCTATATCTTGCTTATTGTAAGTAATGCTGCAGTGAACATAGGGATACATTTATCTTTCCAAATTAGTATTTTTCATTTTCTTTGGATAAATACCCAGGAGTGGAACTGACACTTCGAATAACTATTCCCTCCAAGGCCATGACTTATTGTAAGACTACTGGCAATAGGGATTTTCTGGAATTCTTTCTTTGCCCAGTAACCTAGTTCCAGCAGTAGGAAAAAGAAGTACTGAATTTTTATCCTTTTTAAAAAATTATTTCATTCAGACCAAAAATTGATTTTAAAAGCCATAAACAAAGTACTCCTAAGGATCAAATTATATTAATTGGAACCCATAACTAAAAGTTACCTTAATACCCTGTAGAACATTCATTTAGGCGTGAAAGTCATTGGATATTTTTATGTTCTGTTTTCAGCATGTTTAGAGCAAGAAAGTTATTCCTCACCTAGTATACTTATTAATGAGAAATCTACAAATGATCATTTATCATCTCCACAAAAGACTCCATCTCTGGTAAAAGATGTACCAGAACTGGATTTTTCTGATGAATATGTCTGTGCTAAAAGACCAAGGAAAGAAGAAAAACCAAAGAATGACTTAGAACTAGGTCACAGAGTAATCCAAAATAAAGAAAAGACAGGTTACTTGGACTGCACGGTACCACCTGTTGAATCATCTTCCTCTTCAAAAACTGAAGAAGAAACTTCTCAACGCAGTAAAAAGCTAGAGAGTAATTTAGATCTTTTGAGTGACTTTATTATGCTGCGAAATAAATGTAACACTTACATCTCAAAAACTGAAGTCACAGACAATGATGGAAAAGATGGTAGGTAATTTCATAATATTTTGGTGTAGATATGGTAGCTTCAAGGACTAAATGTATAATTTAATAGAAGGTAAAGAAATAAAGCTCTTCCAGATAGAATACATTATTTTTCAAGGTCAAAGAAAATGCCATTGATTCATGATACTCACTGTGTATGGAGATAGATACGGATATATAGATACTGGTGTAGATATGTATTTTCTAAAATATTTAGAACTGCATTTGGACTTGTAAGAAAAGCCACTATTTGTAAAAACTCACTTTCTACAACTTGGTCATACAGATTCATCATATTTCTAACTTTTTCTGATCTTTCTGCCATTCTTTTTTTCTCTTTTGGCTCACAGTTCTATCTCAGTATTTTAACTTATATTCTAATGTGTACATAAGAGCACTTTGCCCATTTGATTGCTTATTACTCTTTTTAATTTTACGAAAGTGTTTCTGTTTGAGTTGTAACTGTATTACATTCGGTGTTTATAACCATATCAAAGGTAGTATAAAGTGTCATAGCATTTCACTTCTGGTAAAAATATATTCTAGAATTCTAGTATTTCAGAATGTGTTTGACATAAGTTACTCAAATGAAGCTTAGTTTGCGAGTCAAATGAGCTTGTTGTTAACTAAGCACCAGAACTGGGCAGAGTTACCTACCCAGCCCCAGATTATACTGGACTGGGCCAGGATTCCCCATGATGGAGGTGCTGCTTCGGAAAGATTCATGACATAGAAAAGCAGAAAAGAATGTTTCTTGTGAGCAGTATGATATGACAGCCTTTTAAAGATCTTATTTAAAGTTATATTACTTTGTCAATCAGTGCATTTTCACAATGAAAAATTCAGTGAAAATGCAGAAAAGTATTTAAAGATCTCAGAATTTTGTGATCCTCTTTGTATATATATTCACCTTAAAGTTTCTTTTTATGTAATAATTTGACCATCTTATAATTTGTCTTGCTAGGTGACAATTCTGTATGTAACTGAGGTCTTTTTAACCAAATTGCACCATAATTCAGAGCATAATTTCTACATGAAAGAATGAGCAAAATATAAAGAACATCTTATGAATGTGATACATGAATAGGAATTTTAAAATGATTCGTTGTTTTCAGGTTTGCAGATGTTTTCAGATTCTACTTATATTTGGGGTTAAAAAAAGGAAACAATTCCAAAAGTAGCAGTGATATCCTTTTCTGATTGTCATCCTTATTATACTGTTGTGTAATAAGGTATATTGGCAACAGAAAATGAGAGAAAGAAAGAGGGAAGAGATAAAAAGAATGTTTTTTATTAAAAAAAAGTTAGCCATTAATTTACCAAACAATTAAAGGAATATCGATGTTGGATGGGAATGCTTCTGTACTCTTGATGTTTCCTCAAAGAGTGTTATGCTCCTGGCCTCTTTGCCCTTTAATGAACTCTTAGAGGAGTTGGAGTGAATTATCTGTATTGTAAATTTGAAAAATAATAAATTGGTCATAAGCATGCTGGAATGAACTGCCCACAAGTAACAGGCATTCTCCTCTGCTTTTCTATGTCATGAATCTTTCCGAAGCTTATGGTGTAATAGAATAGGCCAGACATGCAGATAATTTCAATACAACATGGTCAGTGCCAAGAGAGTATGCACAGAGTAGTGAGGAGACAAAAAGGAGAGGCACTTTGCTGGCCTGGAAGTAGAGGGGGCAGTTAGATAAGATTTCTTATAGAAAATGCCTGAGAGTTAAAGGGTAACTAGTAAGAAATGACCTTATTAAGGAAGGATGGAGACAGGGAGGGCTTGGGGCATAGGAGAGGATTTGTAACAGAAGGAAAGGTATGTGGAAAGTCACAGAGAAATGACGTAGAGCCGTATGTGTCTTTCAGGTGTCAGGAATCATCCTTGGTGTCTTACACCTTATAACAATACTCAGGGTAGCTGTATTAAACCACATTTTGTATATGAAGAAACTGAGGCTGGTGTCAGAACTGGGATTGAAACACTGACCTGACACCAAAGTTCTTTCCATTATTACCATTCATCTTCCTACACAGCACATTGTCAAGTCCATTGACCTGAATAGATGTTCAATTTAATACTGATGTGTTTCAAGGAAGAACTTTAACAATTATGATCACATTACAAGAAAGCATTTTAATCAACATTAAGTTTCCCTGAACAATTTAAATTAATTTTTTATTCAAATTTCAAGATAAAGAAGAACGTTCTTTGACTCTTCAAGAAGAAAGTCCTATTGTTTGTACTAACAAAACCCTAGACGAAGTAAATCAGGAAAGGAGAGCAGATAATGTCATTGAAATTCCAGCTTCAGGTATGCAATATGCTTTTTAAATGCATTCAGATTAAGTAAATTTAAAAGCCCTTTCCTGGGTAACAGGAATATACCTTATTTACCATGTAATTTCTTCACTTGTTTCAGATGTTTCTTCATTCCAGTTCTATTTTCAAGTTATTTCCAAACCTGGAATGCCTTATTCACCGCCTCTGTCCCTCCCCATTGCCCTTCTCCCGTCCTCTAAGTGTTATTTCTTCTCCCTTTAAACTGCTGCTTCCCTGCATTCGTCAGAGAAGAGCCAACTGCAACTCCTCAGACTGAGACTTTTCTGCCCAGTCTGGAAAAATGAACTGCTAATGGTCGCTTTGTCTCTTCTCTTAACCACTGTCAGGGCGGTGCAAATAAGTTGTATTCATTCCTATACGGATTACAACTATTTGTTCTACTGTAAGGAAAAATATTCTTTGACTCCTAAAGAACAGTCTGCTTAAGACCATCATGCTCATTATTAAAATCAATAAGGAAGTATGACACTAGTTCTTGAAAATCTTTTCATTCTTTTGGTTAAATTTTATTTATGACCTTTAGATGAAAGTGCCAATCTTTGCCTATTGATATTCTTGTGAAAACTAGACACAATTTGTCATTGTTATAAATATGATCAGCTTAAGGTTGTAAGTTAATAGTGGAGGGAAAAGGGGGAAATTAAGTGATTCTCTTTACAAGGCTCCTCATATTTGCCCTGTAGAATTAGTTACTAAATAAATCCTTTTTAATAAATAAGATAATTATAAAGATGCTATAAAGATGCTTGTTTTGTTTTATTTTTACTAGTTTATTGAGAATAAATATCTTAAAATAAGCCTAGTACAATTTCAAGATTTTTAACCCAGAAAAGAATTTGGATAGAGTTCATTTTCCGTGAAGTAACATGTATAACTGGTTTGTCAAAAAAAGAGCAGACCACCCTTATAAAAACACTGCCACTACTGCTTTTATTTTTGCAGATAGCCAGTGCCAAGCATACTGTCTCCTAGAAGCAGCAGCTTCTCCTATCTTAAAAAAACTTGTATGCCTCTGTACTCTCCCTGCTGCTAACTGGACTTTTGCCACTGTCATTTTTGACCAGACAAGGTTTCTCTTAAAAGAACAAGAAAAAGTAATAAATGATGCTATTCACCAAGGTGAGTACAAATAAAAGTTATTGTTTAAAAGGATATAAATTTATGGATTATTATATCAAATTACTAAGAATTGAACATGGAAGATGCAGAAATTAGTCATGGATGGAGGCATAACTATGATTCAGCATATGGCACCCACAAACCCATGCTGGAGGATCAGCTAAGCAAGGAGGAGAAGATGAGCAGTACAGGTACCCCCTGCTTTTCATGCTTGTTTTACACCACTTTGCTTTCATGAAAGACCTACATTAGTGTCTGTTTTCACTAACTGAAAGACTTGAAGAGAATTTTCATTTTTACAAAATAAGGTAGTTGCTTCTTCACTTTACTCCATTTCAGCTTATGAAGAGTTTCATAGGAACACTCTGTTTTCAGATAGTGGGAGGAACCTGTATCATCTGGCATTGCTTCTCAATTAAGTTCTCAGTTGATATATATTAATTGACAGATTGCAGAAACCAAATAAACCCTATTACTGTTAGCATTTAAACCATTTAGTTTCCTCCCGTAAGTGGAGGGGGAGGTGTCAAAAATAAATTAATTAAAGTCAGTCCTGGAGTAACAGGGATTGGATTTATCCTCCTTCCGGAAATAACAACCACCAAACAAAAAGACAAAGACAAAATAGATGAAACTAATTTTTAAGGGCCTAGACATCAGGCAATGAAGCACAACAATGACTGAAAGCCTTCCAAACTTAGTGAAAATTACAAACTCACAAATCCATGAAACTCATGAACCCTAAGCACAGGAAGCATTAGTGAGCTATTCCAAGGCATATGATAATCAAATTGCTCAGAATCAGTAATAATGAGAAAATTGTATGAGCAGCCAGAGGAAAAAAAGATATGTTGCATAAGAGAAACAAAGGCTAGGATGGCATCAGATTTCTTGTCAGAAATAGTGCAAGTGAAAAGACAGCGGAATAACATCTTTAAAATACTGAAAGAAAAAAACCATCAACCTAATTTTCTATACTCAGCAAAAATATATTACAAAGACAAAGGTGAAATAAAGATGTTTTCAGGCATACAAAAGCTGCAAGAATTCATTAGCTGCAGTCCTTCTCTGTAAGAAATGTTAAAGAAATGTTCTCCTAAAGACAGAAGAAAAATGATACCAGCTCTGGTTTCTCTGCTGGTCATAACTGACTTGCTTCCACAGAGGCTCAATATTCTACCCATTAACTGGTTCTCCTGTTGCTGCTTGATTGCCAATGACCACTGCATATTTGCCTTGATCTTCATTGATTAAATCAATAGTTTGCAAACTTTTTAGTGGAACTGTTTATTCAAATAAATATTTCATGGCATCCCCTATATCAAACAGAGAAAAGTGGAGCTTCTCAGGTTAAATTGGGCCTAGAATCCTGTCTTCTCGGTCCCATGCAGTAAAATCCAATCTATTATCTTCAGTAAGCTCTGGAACTACATGGAACGTATTATTTAAACAACTGGCCTGTCCCTGTGAGTACCCGTCTTGTCTAAGTCATATCTTTGGACAAATATTCCCACGTGTCCACCTCCATTTCAAGTTATTGCTTTGTTATGACCCTCCACCTTTATCTTAACCAGTTGGCAAATTATGAGTTTAATTTTCTTCTTGTTTCATAGCTGGGAGTCATTGACTTTTTTCCTCACCAAGAGTAGAAATAATTGAACATTTTTTTGACAGCAACAAGAGTGTGAACTCTAAGGTTAGCTGTCTGGGTTTGAATAACAGCTCCACCATTTCTTCACAAATTGATCTCGGACAGTTTCTTAACATCATTAAGACTGTTTTCTCATCCATAAAATGAAGATCATAATAAACTTGTCTGATAAGGTTATTGTTATAGATTCAATGAGACAACCAGCTTATAAACAGCCTGGCACATAGTAAGCACTTGATAATAAATGTTAGCTATTATTGTTAAGCATTCTGATACATATTCTAAAATTCTAATTTATACCTTATGTTTTTAAATATGTTTTTGCTTACCTAGGTACAAATGATGAAAGAGAAATGACCTTCAAGTATGCTGCTCTCTTGCACCTTTTGGTAACAGTTAGAGATGTCCTTTTAACATGTAGCTTGGACACAGCATTGGGTTAGTGGGAAAGTTTTTTATTTCCTCTTTTCTTATTATTGAAAGTTTTCATCTGAAATAACTTTTACTTTTCTGAAAAAGATGCACCTTGTAAGAAATCATATAGCTTCTCTGTCTTCCACCTGAAACATTATATACATTTTGACATAATTATAATGGAATATATATTTTATTTTGCTTATATTCATTAAAAGAAATCTTCTGTAGCAACTATCATCACCTAGAAAAATAGGTTTACAATCCTCTATCCTAGGCCTGAATTACAGAGTCTGCTTAATCTGCCTTAAGCAGGTTTTATTGTGTAATTATTATCATGCACTACTTTTTAATGTAAGGTGACACTTTGCTATATAGGTCCTCGTTGAATATTTGTGGCTTTGGATTTTTGCTAGATGAAATATAGCTAAATTACTAGCAGTAAGATCTTTTGCAATTTCTTTTTCAGTTGTGCATGTAAATTAGGATGTGAATTAGTTGGGTATTTTGATTATATTGAAAATTTTAAAGATTTTGGAAAATTTTCTAAACTATTAAAATCTTTAAAACATCTGTCTTACTACATTACTGCTTTAGGCTTCTTATTACAGGATTATTTAGACTCGTTTAGTAATGGTATATTTATAGGATTATGTTTTATAATTTAGAGTTTCCAGAACATATTTAAAATATAAAGTGAAAATAATTTTTTTCTGATCAATGACCCAGAAATTTTCTCTTATCTATAACCCAGACAAATATTATTTCCCTCTAATCCAAGGTTTTGATGAGTTACAATTGTACTCCTTCTATAACACTTGGAGTTATAATATTTTGCCAAGTATTATATTAGTATTATCTGGCCAGATATTGGAACTAAGTTACAGCTACCTTCAGAAATCCCAACATGGTGATTTTTTTTCCGTCTCGAATTAAAACATTTGGGTATTGACACTCTATCAGATTGTGTTATCTCCATTCACAGGCAAGTAAGGACTGGGGACTATAGCCCTAGATTACAGCACCTGGAACTAGTGTAATGGTGTAGTGTCACACGTCCTTCTGTTTAGTCACCTGTCTTCATTATACTTTTTGACTTCCATAAACAATTGTCAGCCCTACCAACAGCTAGGCTGACCGTTACAGCGTAACAGTAAGGCAGAATATCAAAATCTAGAATATCTGGGCTCCCAAGGAGAGTTCAGTTGTGACACTCACTGCTGCTCAGTACTTACCAAAACCTTGAATTAGACAAATATTTATGGGGATTGCTTGAAGTATATTCACCTTTAAATGAATCTACATTTTACTCTAGGATTGAGACCATTGAGAGCTACATACTTGGACTGAATTGTTTTTATTCTTCAAAGAAATGTATTTACTAAATCAAACTTTGGCATTACTATTTGGCTACTTTGAGGAATACTATAAAAGTAAAATCCTTGTTGGAAAACTTAACTTTTTAAACCATAGGTACCAAGCCATAATGAATTACCTTGTTGCCTTGGACATTTTTAGTAGAAGGCTTTCTCACTCCTCTAAACATCTCAAAATCAAAAAGTACGGTAGGTTGTCCTCCTTTCTTTCTCTGAAAATAGTGGCAGAGGAAGAAAGATCCATGGGGGTCTAGCTGCCTACCCTGGACCCAGAATTCTGTATTTTCTCCCAGCTTCCAGTTTGCTTCCTCTCCCAAGCTAGCAAGGCAATGAGTTTCAAGGTTAAAGGTATAGAATTTCATTTCTGGGCTTTAACCCAGAAATAAATTCAGTATTCTGTAATAGGTACTAGAGTAGAGATGTGTTGTAATGGCACAAAAGATGGTGACTGTTACCCATTCAAGCTGAATAATTTTTTTTAAATAATTAGGAGTTTGCCAGGTAAATTGAAGTATAAAAGGGTATTGTAGGCAGAATTAAGAGCCCAGAAGAGTGACTCAGTGAGTATGTTGCAAACAGTTCCATGTGGCTGAATTGAAGAGTACAAGATGGAAAGCAGTGAGAGCCAAACCTAAAGAAGTAAGAAAGAGCCAAATCATGAAAAGCTTTTTAAGCTACACAAAAGAGTTCAGTCACTATTCTGTAAACGATAGGGAGCCACTGAAACAGGGAAGCTACTGTGTTAGGTTTGCCTTTCAGAAGGTTAAGTCTAATGAGTAAGGAGAGTCAGTGGGACGTTTGGAGATGAGGAGGCAGAAAGAACATAAGTCAGTCTCTAAATTGCCCATCATTCTAGCTGTATTAATATAAAATTAGAATTAATATGCACATAATATAAAAATACAAACATGAGCATTAAAGTTTTGATTTATTATTGTATTTATTCATTGCTCAAATATTCATTGAATATCCGATCTAAATAAGTTACTATGCCAGGTGCTCTACTTCAGTCATTCACAAAATTCACTGTGCAGTAGAATCACTGGGAGTTTTTAGACATAGGAATCCTTGGGACTCAATCTAGATTTACCGAATCTGAACCTTCAAGGATAAGTCTCAGGATTTTGTGTTTAAAAATTGCTCTTAGTGAGTCTGCATTTAGGCACTGCTGTTTTAGCAGCTACATAAATTAATTGTGCATAAATATCACGGATTAAAGCCTGAGACCTTATAGACTAGTTAGGTTGTTAAGTCATGTATGTAAATAAGCAGAAATCTAGCACAAAAGCTGTATTGATGGAATAGCAAGAAAATTGCAGTGAAATGCATTAACACAGAACTTGCGTGTAAGTATAGATTCTGGGGTTTAGGAAGAAGGCAATAGCACTTAACAAGCCAGAAGGCAGGAAAGGATGGGAATTGTTCAGAGAATATGTAGAGCATATCGAGTTATGTTGATATTACATAGCTTAAAAAGAGACATTTGGTACATATTTCTCAGCTTCACATAATTTAAAGTTTTCTTTCATTGACATCTTTGATCAAAATCAGAAAAGTAGTAAAGGAAAACTGAATTGTCTCTGCAATGACTCATTTCCTTTTAGGTTTTTACTGTGGAATTTCTAAAAGAACAAAAAGATGTGCTTCCCCCCACCCACTTTTGTTTTTAACAGGATATTTGTCCAATGCAAAAGATATCTACAAAAGCATTTTAGGCTCCTGTTTGGATGACGTTTGGAGACAACTAGAGATTGTACAGTTTATTCGGGAAAAAAAGCCGGAAACCAACTACAAGATACAAGAATTGAAATCTCAGATACTAAATTGGATGCAAAGTGAACAGCAAATTAAGGTAAGTACTGAAATAAAGCAGATAATAGTAATTAGCTTATGTAAGAATTGGATGTAAGGTACATTTTTGCATTTAACTTTGAAATTATGAAATAGTACATACTATTTGGTCCCTTGACAGTTTTCTCCTTAAGTAACAGAACAGAATCAGACCCAGAGAGAGGGTCATTTGCATCATTATTCATATGTCTTGAGTTTTAAAATTCTTCCATTTTTATTGTACACAGTTTTCTATGGATTATTCCTTCAAATCTCAAAAATGTTGTCTTCTACTTGTAAGTTTATGAACATAAACACAACGATAGAAAGACAACAATTAATTTTTAGATATTGAGCCAGAATGTCACCTTATATAATTCATTAAAAAAAGCACTTTGTTTGTTCCTCGGATTATATTGGAAAATTTTGCCCACCTTATCCCAAATATTGAATGAATTTTGCATAAGTAAAGATTTAAAAGAAAATACTTTAAAAAATCTTTTCAAGCAGGAACAGATCTTAAATGCCTTAAACTAAATCTGGAAACAAATTTGGCCTTTAGCTTCATTTTCCTCCCTGGCCCTCCTATATTTTTATCTCCAACTCTATGGTTACTTGGATAACTTGCTTAAGTTTATTTACTAAAATAAATTAAAACAATCAGTAAGAAATTTAAAATTGGGGAGTGATGTCAGCATTATGGAAGCATGAGATACTCTCTTTGTCTCTCGCCTTCAATCTACAACCAGTAAAATATTCACAACTCAACAAAGATGCCTCTACCTAACATACCAGGACATGGGGGAATTCCACATATCTGTACATCTAAAAATGGGTGGAATGGAACACATAGAGGAGTGGAACTGGGGGATCAGCATAGGCAGTGCCTGCAACTCTGGCCCCTGGGCCTTGGCAGGTGAACCCACAGCCCTAGAGAACCCAGTAGCAGCAAGGGTGGCAGTGCACATGACTCCAGCCTCCCACCCACAGTGGGGCCTGCAGCCACAAATATCTGGACAGCAGTGGCAGCGAAGCCTACAGCAGCGAGGCCTGTGACCCTGTCCCTCCAGCTGCAGAAGCACCTGCAACTCTGGGCCCCCGCCCTCCACCCACAGCATTGGAGCCCAGCAACCGGACAGCACAGGACAAGGCAGAAACCCACGTGACCCTTCCCGCCTTTCTGCCCCCCACTCTCTTGCAGTGGCAGAGCCTGTGACTCAGGGGATCCCAGACGAGACCACCGTCCTGGCACCCCTCTCGACGACACCAGTGTCACCAGCAGCAGCAAGGGACTAATGACCCCAGAGGCACAAGTAGCAATAAAAAGGGCACTGAGTGACAGCTCTGACAGTGGAGGGCGGAAAAGTGCCAATTCTTAAATATAACCGGAGGCAGCTCAGGTAAAAGAAACCAAAAACTTGTGCTATAGTGCCACCCACTGGAACGCAAAAGAAAGGCCTCTAATCTCTAACCTGTTGAATCATTAGAATCAAGTGTTTTTAAAGTCTTTCCCTGAAGAAAAAAGGTGTTCACTACTTCAAATATGCCAGCTGAGGAACAACCTACCAAGTACCATGAAGGAGCACAGTAACCCTGTATCACAAAAACAAAATGACAACTTACCAGAAACCAAACTTAAAGTCATGGAATTTTGCAAAAAGTCAACGTGGAAACAGTGGCCTTAAGTGAAATATTAGACCGGATGTATTTGATAGATTGGCACAGAACATTCCACCCAAATGCAGCAAAAAAACACATTCTTTTCAAGCGCACAAGGAACTTTCTCAGGGGTAAACCATATGCTGGGGCACAGAACAAGTCTCAGTAAATTTAAGAAGATGCAAATCATATCAAGTATCTTTTTGGATCACAGTGCTATGAGACAAAATCAACTACAAGAAAAAAAGCTGAAAAACACATCACAAATATGGTGAAGACTGAACAACATGCTACTGAACAACTACTGAGTCAATGAAGATATCAAAGGAGAAATTAAAAATACCTGAAGATAAATGAAAATATGATATACCAAAATCTATGGGATGCAGCAAAAGCAGTACTAAGAGGGAAGTTTGTACAATACAGGCCTATCTCAAGGAACAAGAAGAATCTCTAGAATAAACAATCTAATCTTACACCTAAAGAAACAGAAAAAAGAAGAAAAAATTAAGCCCAAGGTCAGTAGAAGGAAGGAAGTAATAATGATCAGAGCAGAAATAAATGAAATAGAGACAAAAAGAAAAGATCAATGAAAGTAAGAACTGGTTCTTTGAAAAAATAAACAAAAATGACAAACCTTTAGTTCGACTTACTCTAAGCAAAAAAAGAAGGCTCTGATAAATAAAATCAGAAAAGAGAGGAAAAATAACAATGGCTATCACAAAAATACAAAGATTATAAGAGAATATTATGAACAGCTATTCACCAACAAATTGAAGAAATGAAAAAATTCTTAGAGTCATACATTCATCCAATGCTGAAACATGAAGAAATAGGAAATCTGAATAGACCAATCTCTAGTAAAGAGATTGAAACACTAATCAAAAGCCTCCCAAAAGACAAAATCCAGTACCAGATGGTTTCACAGATGAATTCTACCGAACATTCAAAGAAGAATTAATACCTATCCTTCTCAAACTCTTCCAAAAGATTGAAGAGGAGGGAAAACTTCCTAATCCTTTTACAAAGCCAACAGTACCCTGATACCAAAACCAGACAAAGATGATACAAAAAGATATATATTACAGGTCAATATCTCTGATGAACATAGATGCAAAAATTCTCAACAAAATGTTAGCAAACCAAATATAACAATACATTAAAAGGATCATACAACATTATCAAGTAGGATTTATTCCAGGGATACAAGGATGGTTCAACATTCCCAAATCAATGTGATACACCAAGTAAGCAAAATGAAAGAATATATATATATTTATATATATATATAAAGAATATATATATATTTATATATATATATAAAATCATCTCAATAGATGCAGAAAAAGCATTTGACAAGATTCAACACACATTTATAATTTTAAAAAACTCAATAAAATGGGTATAGAAGGAATGTACTTCAACATGATAAAGGCCATATATGACCAACTCACAGCTTACATTATATTCAGTGGTGAAAAGCTGAAATCTGTTTCTCTAAAATCAGGAAAGACAAGGATGCCCGCTCTTGCCACTCTTATTCAACATAGTATTGGAAGTTCTAGCCAGAGCAATTAGGCAAGAAAAAGAAATAAAATGCATCCAAGTTGTAAAGGAAGAAGTAAAACTGTAGCTGTTTTCAGATTTCTACATGACTTTACATATAGAAAACCCTAAAAGCTCCACCAAAAATCAATCAGAAATAATAAATACGGTAAAGTTGTGGGGTACAAAATTAACATCCAAAAATCTGCTATGTTTCTATATGCTAACAGGGAGCTAACAGAAAGAGAAATTAAGAAAACAAACCCATTTGCAATCACAAGAAAAAGACAAAATACCTAGAAATAAATTTAACCAAGGAAGGGAAAGACCTGTACACTGAAAACTATAACACATTGTTGAAAGAAATTGAAGAAGACACAAATAAATGAAAAGATAGTCCACACTCAAGGATTGGAAGAATTAATACTGTTAAAATATCCATATTACCTAAAATAATGTATTCATTCAGTGCAATCCCTATCAAAATCCCAACAATATTTTTAACAGAAATAGAATAAAAAATTCTAAAATTTATATGGAACCATAAAAAAACCCTAGACAGTCAAAGCAATCCTGAGGAAAAAAAACAAACAAACCTGGAAGTACCACATGCCCTGATTTCACACTATATTACAAAACCACAATAATCAAAACAGGATCGTATTGGCAGAAAAACAGATACAAAGATCAATGGAACAGAATTGAGAGCCCAGAAATAAACCCACATATATATGGACAATTAATTTATAACAAAGGAACAAAGAATATACATTGGAGAAAGAATAGTGTCTTCAATAAATGGTGTTGGGAAAACTGGACAGCCACATGCAAATAAATAAATAAATAAATAAATAAAGTAGACCACTATCTCACACCATACCCAAAAATCAACTCAAAATTAATTAAAGACTTAAATATAAGCCCTAAGACTATAAAACTACTAGAAGAAAATAGACAATACACTCTTTGACATCAATCTTAGCAATATTTTTCTAGATATGTCACCTCAAGCAAAAATAAACAAATAGAACTACATCAAACTAAAAAGCTTCTGCACAGCAAAGAAAACTATCATCAAAATGAAAAGACAACCTACTAGATGGGGGAAGATATTTGCAAATCATGTATCCAGTAAGGGGTTAATATCCAAAATATATAAAGAACTCATACAACTCAACAACAACAACAACAAAAAACACAAACCCTATTAAAAAATGGACAGAGGAGCTGAACAGACATTTTTCCAAAGAAGTCATACAGATGACTAACAAGCGCATGAAAAGATGTTCAGCACCACTAATTGTTAGGGAAATGCAAATCAAAACCACAATGAGATATCACATCTCACCTTTTAGAATGGCTATTTTCAAAAAGGCAAGAAATGATAAATATGGTGAGGATGTGGAGAAAAGGGAATCATACACTGTTGGTGGGAATGAAATTGGTGTGTATTTGGAAAACAGTATAGAGATTTTTCAAAAACATTAAGAACAGAATTACCATATGATCCAGCTATCCCACTGCTGGGTATTTAACCAAAGAATACAAAAACACTAACTTAAAAAGATATATGCACCCCTATATTCACTGCAGCATTATTTACAACAAGCAAGATACAGAAACAATCAATGGTTGATTTGTTGTCCCCACCCCAATAGCCCCCCCACCAAATATAATGGTAAGTGAGAATAGCAACAAATCACTGGTTTTCCCTAACAAATTCAAACCTGTCTGGGCCAAATTTAACACTAACAACACAGGCAGAGACAGCTTATGTATAGAGTCACCTGTATGGGAATACTTGAGGAATGCTAAGAATGCTCGACCCCAAAATATTTTCCTCATTGATTTTTGACCTTATCAGAATTTATTCCTTTATGTTTAAGCACTAGCCTCTTTTACAACACATCTTTTCTTTGTCATCTTACTGTCATTAGTTCATGTAACCAATGAAGTTTGTTGTTTTGTCATTGTAGCAAAAGACTATGAAAAAGAATAAACATTCAGATATACATATATATGAAATTCTTATTTTTGATCAGGTGCTGATTATAATAAGAATGGACTCAGATGGTGAAAAACATTCACTCGTGAAAATCCTTAGCAAAATAGAAGGTAAGGAGCTCTAAATTGTGCTTAATTTGATAACAAATGCTTAAACATATAAAAATGTGTTGATCTAACCAAGTTTTTAATTAGGATGTGATTAACATACCATAAAATCATACTTTAAAAGTATATAACTCAGTGGGATCTAATCAGTTTTTAAATCAATCTGGACTATATGTCTGCAATGTTAATATAATACAATGTACTTATAGATACATTATTGTTATTATTATCAATTGACACCTTTTATTGTCTACTTGTTGCTAATAATACTAACTACTTAAAACAACTCTATGAATAGGTTTTATTAACTAGATTTTTACAAATGAAGAAACTAAACTTCGTAAAAGTTATGTATCATGCCGAAATCACAGATAATAAGTGAGGGAACGAGGATCTGAACCTAGGTCTCTCTTGTTCCAGGGTCATTCTTCAACTCTGTTTCCCATCCCTCTGCCAAAACTTTCTACCTTGTGCAGTGGAACCTGTGGCTTATATAAACTCTTCTCCTTCTTCACCTTCTTAAGTGAAACCCAACTTTTTCTAGATGGTGATGCTTCAGCTGTATCCCTTTCATATAGAGCTTATACTTTTCTCTCTCTATGTATATATACCTCATAGGGATGAGAAGGCCATTTCTTGCTCTCCATGATTCTTTTCAAAACTTTATTCCTCCGTCCTTTGAGGCTATGATACTGTCATGTCATTCTCTACTACTCCAGTGTCATCCTCTGGTAACCACCTGAACGTTTCTCATCACCCATGGACAGTTGCTCTTGGCTCATGGTATTCTCTTTACTCCTAGTCCTGCCATTATCCTAGGTGTCTTTAAGGTGAATGAGTCATTCAACACCCTGACCTTATAGTTTCATTGGCCTTCACGACAAATCTGATATTCACTCCCTGGCTTTGCCATCGACTGTGTGATAATGCAGAACTGTCCTACCTCTGAACTTTAAACTCTGATATATTGTTCTGTCTGTCGCTACCTCTAGCTCTTTCATGATCTTTAGCATTCTGGAGATCTATAAATTGTCTACTCCTTTTTTAATTTCATTTTTCCCTCCAGACTTGGCGATGTGACCATCACTTTAATCTGTTATGTCCTTCTGTTGTACCCTCTATTTAAACCTCAACTCTGAATCAGTTAAGACAGTTAATCTCTCTCTTCCTACACCTGAGTTGCTGAGCACTACTGGAGAAAATAAAATAGATTTGTACCACTACAAAAATCATGTTCTCCGAACTTGTCTAGGCTTCATGCTGAACATCCCATTTCTCTAGGCATTCGGGATTATATCAGTAGTACTCTCACTATTTTATTTCAACAGGGTCTACTGACACAATTTTTGACTCTGTAAACTGAAAAATGTTTTTACTCTCTTTGTAATCAGCAACTATCCTCTGTATCTAGGAGCTAGGCCTTTTTTTTTTGTCTAGTGTTAGAAAATAACAATGTGGTCCCATCATTCCGTGTGTTCACAAGATCCTAGTAATGTGCTCAGCAAGTAATCTGCTTTGGGATCATAGCTAGTACAAATCACTTAAGGAAATTAGGTTTTAAATAATATGACCTTGTAAATTATAAAAGAGAAATCGTATTCACTCCCTTCTAATTGCTTCCAAAACTGTTGTCATTCAAATCAAGTAAACATGAAATTACTCAGTATACTCTGGTCATTATTACATTACACCTTTGAGAACTTTACAGTTGACAGAAGTACACTGATAGAGTATAGAAGTTATTTTAACTAGAATTAGCTATTCTTAAATCAATTATATCTACCAAAAATAAACTGCTTGTGTGGGTACAGAATTTTTTGAAATTTATTATATCTTGTTTAAAAATTAGTAACATAAGTAATTTAAATCATAATTAAGAGGCAGGAATAAATCTACAAAACAGGTGGTGTCCAATAAATCTTTTTCTTATACAGCTAGTGGAAAGGAAAAATAAAAACATTCCTACCACACTGAAATGTAGTCTCTTACTGGTTAGTTAGGTACTTAAATTTTTGGCTACAGAAAAAGATAAAAATCTGTCATGATTTTTAGCAAAATCAAATGAATTGCACAGAATTGGCAAGTGTTTAATTTGGTGACTTTAAAATTAAGTTTTTGATCTATTTTATTATTCTACATAAGCAATTAAGAATTTCCATGCTTATGAACACACAACATCCACACAAACCAGCAATAGTGCCCATGGTTCAAACTTTCTAATACTCTAGACGTAGAAAAATAATCTAACAAATTGTATTTTAAGCAGTTCCCTTGTTCACAGATCTTTAATTCATTTTTGTGGCAGTGAAATACATGACACACTTAAAAATATACATGAACAAAATACTGAAAAAAACTTTTTTGTATTACTTTTTTTCCAACAGGTTTGACACTCACTGTCTTGCATTCAAACAAAAGAAAAGATTTTCTGGAATCAGAAGGTGTTTTAAATGGGTAAAATCTATTTATTTGTTCATCTCTGGGGAGTAGACATACCAGTTCCACAGGAAAAGCACAATTTCTCCTAGAACTTAACTCTTAAAAAAGATTTAATAAAATCTGAAATTAATCAATGTCTCTACCCTCTTCCTGAGAAAATGCTTTACGTAGAACATTTTAAATAAGTTATTGCCTTGTGTATTATGTATTGTTATTGCCCAGAATTTTAGTTCGATCTTGTTTTAAAATTATCATTATTATTGTTAGTGTTAGTACAAAAAGTACCTTTTTAGACTTACCTTGTTTTTACCAAGTTTTCTGCTCAGCATTCTTTCTTTTTTTTTTCCAGCATTATTTCTTATATTCTCTTCCTTCTTTTTGAGTTCTCCTTCTTTTGTAATACATCCTTTAGAAATTCTTTCAGTGAGAGCCTGCTAATAATAAATTTAATGTTGACTGGTCTAAAAATGTTTTTATTTTACCTTATTTTATGTAGACATTGTTTATTTCTAAATAGGAAGCAGAAGTAGAGAATTTTAATTATAGTAATGCTATGTTATCTGAAATTTGAAGGTAGGAAAGATAAATATGATATTTAAATACCCATCTTTTTGTTGTTGTCAAATCAATTATGAAGCCCACTGAAGGAAAAAAACCCATTCTAGAGTTGTCAGATAATATTCTACTGTATAGAGTTTCAAATATAAAAACCTCACATTTATGAGAAAATGAGATTGATTCCTCATAGTGATTTATGCGTTACTGATAAGACTCAGATTATAAAAATAGGGCCTCTTGCATTTTTTTTTACTTAAGTACAGTCAATTACAATGTGTCAATTTCTGGTGTACAGCACAATGTCCCAGTCATGCATATATATACATATATTTATTTTCATATTCTTTTTCATTAAATGTTATTACAAGATATTGAATACAGTTCCCTGTGCTATACAGAAGAAATTTGGTTTTTAAAATCTATTTTTATATACAGTGGCTAACATTTGCAAATCTCAAACTCCCAAATTTATCCCTTCCCAGCTCCTTTCCCCCAGTAAGCCAGAAAGAGAAAGAAAAATACTATATGATATCACTAGTATGTGGAATCTAAAAAAAAGAAAAAAAGAGGACACTAATGAACTCGTGTACAAAACAGGAACAGACCCTTGCATTTGAAGATGTGAAATAGTCCACAGTTTTTTTATATCCTGGTTTAAAAAAAAAAAGTATGACCATCAGAAAGAAATGTAAAAAGAGATTAATTAGCACAACTGGAGAACAAGTAGACAGAAAATACGCCAGTATCTTTCCAAGATAAGTAGGCACAGATTAGAGAAGAATAAAATAGCCAAAATAGTCATCTTTTAGCATTCCAAGTGTATAGTAACACAAGTCTAATTCTATTTTCTTGGCTTTCTTTTGTCTTTAGTACAAGTTTCTGTGTAGTTGTGCACAATCAATATATTGGAGCGGATTTCCCCTGGAGTTATTTCTCATTTGTGGTGGAATATAATTTTGTAGAAAACTCCTATTGGACTGAACACTGTGAAAAACTGAATATTCCTTACATGGCCTTTAAAGTGATTCTTCCAGACACAGTTTTAAAGAGTAAGGATATAAACTAAAATTGTTTTTTTTTTCCTACGAGCATGAAAATTTTGCTTCCTGTTTCTGATCTAGGGAAAGAACAAGCCATAAAATAGAAGACTTGAATTCAAGCTCTAACTTTACCACCATCTCTGTGACCTTAAGCAAGGCCTTTAACTGTCTCTTACCTCACAGTCCTCGTTTGTAAAGTAGGCTTTACTGATTTAATTTGTCTTCATCCCTTTTACTTCTGAATTTTACTTATAATAGCACAATTTTATTATGTCTAATCTTAATCTGATACTTTTATGCAAGAGAATTTTTAATTGAATTTTAGGGAAAAGTATGTTGACTGATACAGAAAACTTTTAATATGCAACAAAAATTATGCACAAGTGCTTAAAAAAGAGTCTAAAACCACTTTGCATGTAGCCTTTGGTTTCTTTGTATTTCTCAGTAAGGCTTCATATGAATAAGGTTGTGAATTCTCAAATCTATTCAATTTAAAAGCTTGTACATTTTTAGTCCCAGTGCATCTCTCTTTCAAAACTTGCCCTTAAGTTACTTTCTAACCACCTCAAGTATGAGTGGGAAGTTTGAATTCTGAGACATTCCAACTCAGTTCTAAAAATAGTCACCATAATTATTACTTTGGAATCTTTGATATATAGAATTAAATGTTAAATTGATTAAATAATTAAAACATGGCCCAAGAAAGGATAAAAGTTAAGCATTACTCTTTGAACTTAATTTATTCAACCAATTTCTGATTTAAGGCATTTACAATGCTTCAGTTTTCCACTATTGTACCACAAGATTTATAGAACTTTATGTATCTTATGTATCTTTATGTACTTGTTCTAAGAAGAAAAAATTCCAAAGTAAAATGAATTGCTGGGTCGAAGGTATGCACACATTCATATATTGCCAAATATCTTTCCAGAAATGCTATCCCAATTTATATTTATGCAGAAAGTGTGAGAGTATCCTTCCCTTCAAATTTTTACTATGAGTAGGTGTTATTAATCTTCTGAATATTTGAGAGAATTAGAGGCAGAAAATATTTTATAGTTGTGTTAATTTGCATGTCTTTGATTGTCCATATCATTTCATATGTGAATTGAATTTGTATAGCCATTCTTTCATAAATTGCCTGTTTCTGTCCTTTGTCCACTTACCTATTTAAGTATGTGTTCTTTTCCTATTGATCTGTAGCATTCCCTATGTATTACTGTGCATAATTTAAAATTTTGATGTAAATCAGTATATATATTTACGCAGCAACTGTCCAGTATATACTAAGTGAATAAAGCAGATGTTAACATTCAGGTAGAGTAGGATCCGGTTATTTTCTTTTCCTTATTTTTTCAAGTGCATGTACATGTGTGAGTATAGATTAGCAAATATATAGGAAAAAGTCTGGAGGTATGCACTAAACTCTGCTTTTAGTGTATAGTAGTGTTACTACATTCTGTTAAATCTTTTATTTCTAGGTAGTTGGATAAATATGGTTTTTATTTTATTCTTCAGACTTTATTCTGAATTCATTTTCTTACCATGAATTTTTTTTATGTTACTCCTTGAACATACATCTGTTATTCTCACGTTCAATAAAAAAGGGAAAGAACTGAAGGATGAGAAAAAGAAATATTTATAATTCTTTTCTTATTTAGGAAGCACCTTGCTGGATAGTTTTGGTGGTTTTCTTTTGGAAATTCAAATTCCATATGTATTTTTCGCATCTGAAGGACTTCTTAATACTCCAGAAATACTTCAGTTGCTGGAATCCAAGTAAGTTACTGATTTCATAACCTTAGCAAAGGTATATATATATCTCAATTGACTAAGTATTATGCTGTAAATGTGGCACCATTTCTTTCTGACTGAAGCCTGGAATTATACCACATATGAATATTTTTCAACAGGATTTATGTCAATTTATACTTCTTTCCTTATAGTAAACCATCATAGTTATTGAATATTGTCTTTTTGGGGTTTATATCAATTTTGTGGAGAAAAAATATTTCATTATTGTTTCAATTTATAATTTAATTGCATTTCTTTTGTTACCAGCAAATATGAACATTTTATGCGGGGATTTTTGTGTGAATTATATGGTCATATCTTTGTGTCGTTGTTATTGCTGAGAATGAGTATTCTTATTTCGAGGACTTTAAATACTGCCTAGGAAACAAGATTATGAAGTTCTAAATGAATTATTAAGGTTTTAGACCTTTAGTTCTAAGGTCATATCAACAGTGAGCATTTTTAAATGATACAAAACACTTTATCATAGCACATAAGTTGTCATGAGAATGTTAGACCTTGGGCTATATATCAAGGAAGGATAATTATGCTGTGATCTTGGTTAAAATGCAGATCTGTTTTCCCTGGTTCTGTTTTTATATCTTAAGGCTGTGGGGCATTCACAGAAAACTATGAGCTTATAAAAGATAGTTAAAATCTAGGCCACTTTTAAGGAGAAAGAAAAGAAAGTTCTGATAAATGTAGAATGTTTTAGTCTCATAACACAATGTTTTAAGTTCATGAATTATTACTTAAGGAGCTAGAACAAATTGTAGAGATATTTGTAATAGTATTATGTACAGTAATATTTACCAAAATACCTAAGGCAATGCATATCTCAATTTATCATATTGAATAATTCATAATTTTATTTCTCAAATCTATAAAGTAGAATAAATTGATGTATGAAATTTGCACAATAGTTCAAATAACTTAATATACAGGAGGACAATACAACTTTTCTTAGAGAATTTTTCTTAGCCATCTGTCTCACCCCCAAACATTGTATTTTACAGCTATAATATTACACTAGTGGAGAGATCCTGCAGTGAGTCATTGAAACTCTTTGGAGGTACAGAGCATTACGTGGTAGTGACAGTTGATGAGCACACAACCATAATTTTGCAGGTAAAACTACATAGTAAAAAATTGAAATCAAATATGTAAAAATATGTATGTAGCCATGTAATTTATTATTAGCTTTACTACAGAGAGCTTAACTAACATCTATTCATGATTTCTTCCAAAACTTTACAAATGGGCCATAAGTGCTAAAATCATCACTGTAGAAAATGACTGTTATCAAGCTTCTTTGATGCCTTATAATTTTTAACATACTTTAAGAAGTTAAAGGAAATATAGAATCTTTAATATTATGTATTGACCTATTTTTAACTATATTTATATAATACTTGTAGTTGAAAACTTTAAAACTCAAATTTTAGCCACTCTGTTTCTTAAAAGGGGGTGACATATTAATCCATAGTTGTTAATATGAGATTTCCTCTAAGATAAGCAGGGATTGCCTGTAAGTAAGTTGGTTTTTAAAAAGAGACAGAAAAATCTCTTAAAAATCCATATAGTTTAGAATTTAAGATGTATAAATTCTTGACTGAATCTCCCTGATATGTTTGCTTGACTGGAATACAGATTACAAAGCAGTTGGTTTAATAGGGTGAAGGTGAGGAGCGGAAGCCAGGGTTGATGGTATTGAGTATAAATTAATGGCACATGTTATGGTAAGGTACAAGTCTGATTTGATGAGCAAATGGTAACAGTATAAGAATTGTATGACAGAAATAAAAAGCTCCGTTAGGAAGGTTCTTAACAGATATTGAGTCTTGCATATTTAAGGTTTTTCTAAAGTTTTTTAGGGGAAAATGTTGTTTGGAAAAACAGTTTTAATCCATAGTTACATAAGTTACGGTCAGACTAAAACACTTCTTGAATTATTCACTCTATCAAAAATAAATTTTGTTAAAGGAAAAAGGGGTTTCTAGATCATTAGAGAGATTCCTAGAAGTCCATTAACTGCTACTTTTTCATCTTCCTTAAATAATCATTCAGTGCAGATTATCCCATGGGGTTTTGCCCTTATGAGTAGCCAGATCCCTGCCTGCAAAGGACTTTGCCCAAGGAGGCGCTCTGTAGGCTGCTTTCTCCGTATCTAGGACTTTGGACGATTCATGAACCCTCCTTGCTGAAGCTATCATTTACTGCTTTATATCTATTGTAACCTTTCACCTACTACTTCCAGTGTGATTTTAATTTTTCCATAAAATGGGAATCCATTCCCATGCTTCTTCTCAAGTTATAACTTATATATCATAGATTCTGGAAATGTGGTAATAATAATTTCATAGCAACTGGTCAACTTAGTGAATCTTTTTATTTTATTTTCTGACAGGACCTAGAAGAATTAAATTGTGAGAAGGCATCAGACAATATCATTATGAGACTGATGGCATTATCATTCCAGTACAGCTATTGTTGGATGATCTTTTACGCCAAAAAACCATTGAACTCAGAGTAAGTAAACATTTCTTCATCCAAAGTCACATTTATATTTATTAAGTTATTCAGTCTTTTTCTTTGAATAAAACTAGCTGTGCAAATTTTCCTCTTGCTCGTCTAGTTTGCTTTAAGTAAGAGATTCTCAATGTAGAGGCATGCCCATAGGAAAACAAATCAGACTTTCAGAGATGGTATATTTCCCCCAGAAATGTAGTTCAAATCATTTGCTTCTCCACTACCTCAGTAAGAATTGCTGCTTTAAGTGTTTGACTTTTCATTAATTTTAAATTCTGGACTCGTCTGTTAAAAGATACTCTTAAAGCACTCCTCTCTAAAATCTTATTAAATATACCAACTAAATAGCATCTTACTCTACCTTATTTCATTGATGTGCTTAACTGAAAAATTAACCAAAACATCCATGCCAAGACACTGGCTCAAGTTATCATTATATGTCTCTGCTTTCCCTCATCTCTAAATTTTATGAACCTATTGCTTCTACGTTCTCCTTTTATTCTTTACAATCTGACTTCTCTCCCTACGTCTGTACTGATCTTTCTTTCAAAGGCCACACTTATTTGTGACTTTCTTGTGATCATCTCCAAAAATAATGTTATCTTTCACTGCTCTGAAGTATTTAAGACTGTTCTCAGTGCTTTCTGTCTTGAAACTCTTCATTTCCACGGCACTTCAGTGTTTTGAATCTTCTACCTCTCTAACTACGCCTTCTCTGTCTTTACCTCTTCTTCCTTGTCCCAGTCTCCAAATAGATCTGAATTCTTTTCTTTCTTCTATTCTATCCATAGGAAATCTTATCCACTCTCATAGCTTCAGTCATCATCTTTGCCTATAATTTAGTATATCTATAGCTGAAGTCTCTCTTTGAAATTCCTGACAGGTATCTCTAATTTTCTTTTTAATATTTCCAGCCTGATATTCCACAGGCTCTCAAACTTAACAGAGTATGAATTCATTATATTCTCTATTTCCTCCAAAACCGTGTCTCCTTTTCTCTGCCCTCTAGCTATATATGACCATTGCCTTGCGTTTAGTCACCAAGGCTAGAAAACAAATCCTACAGATTCAACCACTGGACTTTCTCTTTGATCTGTCCCCTCCCTCCATTTGTATTACCAACATCTTAGTTCAGATTCTTATTATTTTCTGTGGACTATTACAACAAACTATCAATGGTTTCCCCACCTCCAGATGGCTCTCAGTGTTATTCTCCATAATCTGTCATACACTCAATTAATATTCCTAAAACCCGATGAACACTGAGAAAACACCTTCACTGACTTTCCCATTATTTACTGAATACATACAGACTACTCACCCTAACAAGTCTTTAAAATATAATCCCAACCTGTGTTTTCAGGTTTAATTTTCACTGCTTTCCATTTCAACCAAAAGAACTGCTCCTTGGCTTGCAAACATGCTCCTCGCTTTCCTCCTTCCACTTTTGCTCATACAGTTCTCTCTTCCTACGATATTCTCTGCTTCCTCCAACTATTTCATTTGGTGAAATTGTGCCTATTTCTCAGGACCTATCCTCAAATATTACTTTTTCATTTGACCTTTCCTCAGTACCACCCACCCGTGCATACAAACAGACAGTCAGTTGTAACCTTTCAATCCTTTGGACTCCTTATCTCTCTGCTTTTTCCTCGTCTATGATATTTATTGTATTTTGTTTTGTATTATCATTTTGGAGTACTTGCCCTATGGCGCTGACCACACTGCTTTCATATGATGGGTGCTTGGTAAATATTCCTCGATTGAATGAATAATCTTTCCTACTAAATTGCAAATTTGTCTTATTCATTTCTTTAATCTCTACAATACTACATAACACCATATCACTCATAGTGGAAACTTCAAAAATATTGTATAGTTTAGTTATTAGATAAGGTACAGATATCTTCTTATTTGACATTTGCTGTGTGATTTTTTTTCTTTATTGACTTTCTGGTTTGACTCCATTGTTGTATCTTGCTGTACCAAGCAGTACAGTATACAATTATTATCACGTGGGGATAACTGTAAGTTAGAGTGTGAGACTCCAGACACCTTGGGTTTTAATCTTTCTTCTATTAATGATAACCTCTAACGATCATTGAATCTAGTTTTTCCTTTCTACTAGAACTGAAAAATAAAAATAATAATTCAGGTCTAAATATTTATTTTGAAGGTTAATAAAGGCTGTAAAGCATTTTAAACTTTATAAAGAACTAGGAAGTGTTCTGGATAAATAATTGATTTGGAATTTTTTAAATTTGTTTTGGATTGGTACCTGCCTAGGGGTGCAACTGAAGTACAAGGGAGAGTAAGAGGAGATTTACACTTATTTTTAATAAGTACAACCAGACATCAAATGAGTAGAAAATAGTAATATAATTTTTTTAGGTACTATCTTACAGAAAAGGCACTTCATCACCTAGCACTGATATATGCAGCTTTGGTTTCATCTGGGCTAAAATCAGAAGAACTGGATGTAAAGGTATTCTTTTTCTAAATGTTTGTTCCTAAGTATTTTTCATAAACCAAAATTATCCTGAAACTCTACTGCCCAGTGAGGAGAAACATTAAATGGGTAAACTAAAAAACATTTAAAAGCCATATAAAGAATAGTTTTAAAATTAACAAATATTATTTCCACTTAAATTTCTGTTCTAAAAGCCTTTAATGAATTTAAATTCTTACTTAATTTAATGAATTTGAATTATTATATTTTATCATGATTACTTAGATTTTTTTGAAACATGGCAGGATATAAATAAAAATAAATATCCCTTGATCAAAAATATTCACTTATGAAAGATATACCATATTTATCTACTATAAAATGAAAATCTTATGACATATTAATAGAGCAATATCTTGGTGATCTCTAATCAGTCTCCTTTCTTGCCTTTTTTCAATGTCCCACTCTGAAGTTTATATATTCCCCCCAAATTTAGGGCTCAGTCCTCTATTGTTAACGCTTTATATTCCTTCCTTGATAAACTCAGACATTCCCACAAATTTAGCTTTCATTTCTGAGAAAATCCTTAAAATTTTCATAATTTTTCTTAAGGCCTGCACCTATATTCTAGATTCTACCAGAAATACCCACATGAACATTCCACAGGTATCTCAAACTCTGCATGTCCAAAACACAACTTCTCATCCTTCCCCAAACTTATGTTGACCTAAAACAAATAGACTGCCAGTTATTTCTGCAGCAAAAATGGGTTCGTGCAGAATCAACAAAGAATTGCAGTTCAGGGTCTGCAGCCATGGTGAGCCTATGTGAGTTGCAACACAGCTCAAAGGGGTTAACTCTTTTAAAGAAGGGAAAAGGACGTTGGGGAGGGCTATAGTAAACAAAGAGTCCATTGGAGGAGTTGAGAGTTCAAAGTATAGTGGCCTTCCATTGAGTTCTCCCATTCTTCCAATAACATTTTATATCTTTATTATAATAAAAGGTATTTATTCACATATCCTCCTCCCTGGAGAGTGAGAACTAGGCCCTTTTCTTTATAAAACCTGTAGCATCTAGCACAGTGTTTGTACACAGTAAAAATACTCAACAAACAGCTACAAAATAGAGTTAAATGAAGACACAACCTGTTAAGAAAATCAACAAATCATCTATTTGAAATAGAATCCAGATCATTTTGATCCTGTGATGCATATTAAACGTAGAAATAAAATTCTTGGAAAAGTTATCTAAACAAAATGAATGGCAAATGTAAATTTGTCTCATTTATTCATTCTAGTGAGGTTTCACCACTTAATCAGACTCTCTTCTTTTCAGCTACTAGTAAGCAATCACATGCAAAAATGTGCTTTAGGAAATCATTTTATTCCTCTATACATGGGGTTTCTGACAGCAGTGAGTGACACTGTGTTCAGGAACAGCGACAGGGCCCATAGAGGACATGTTCCAAGGAAGGCATTTGGGGATGAAATAGGAGGTACTGCCCAGGCACGGTCCATTCCAAACAGAAGTCTGCTCCCACCTGGGTCAAACTACTCCAAAAGCGTCTCAAGTTTACATAATCATCTTAAAAGTAGGTCCATTTACCCATGGAATTTGAGAAGCAAGTAGGATCAGTTTGCTCTTACTCTCTTATCAATATGTCACCAATATTCAAGCCTCCCATTCTCCTAACTTGATGACATTATTACATTAAAGGGGGTTCCCTAAACTCATATCATTTTAGAATATATTTACTAATATGGCTTTTGGCCTTTTAGGCAAAAAAAATTCATCAGTTTGATCTTTTTTTCCCCAATCATCTGAATAGCCTGGCCATAAAGGAAGTACTAGGAAATTTAAGTATATTTTCTTAAACTAAAAGAAAATACTACCAGTAGTGTCATACCATATTTTACTATAATGTAAAAAAAAAAAGTTCTATAAATTTCTTATGAACTCTGCAGAAAAATGCATAGATATACACATATGCAAATTTTTCAAAACAATGTTAGGGAGGGTTCTTGAATCTCCCAAAGTCTAGCCATAAGCTCCAGAATCCTTGCCTTAATAAATTAAGATAATATTCATTACTATTATAAAATTATGCCCTTTAAATAAAATTTATATTTAAATAAAAGTGTCAAATCTTTCTCAAAACTTCCCAAAACTTTTAATAAAATAAATTTGGAATCTAACAGTGTGTTTCTGTGCACTCTATAGATATAATATAAGAAAATCCTTCTTTAGCATGCATGTACCCCCCAGATACATGTTAACAGTTTTGTATCTGTTATTCTTGTGAAAGAAAAAAAATCATAATTATTTTGTACAGTCTTTGTTTCTTAAATTTCCACTACAGGACAGAATACAGAATATTTATATTTTTAAGATATGATCGTTTAGGACAGTATTCTCTGTCCACATTAAATTGCTAACCCATGAGCCATCTTTCCTTCAACCGAATCTAAAAGATGAAGAAGATAAAAATAGAAATGAAAGGGGAAGGAAAAGGTGGCATTTCAGAAGAGAGAAGGGCATGGAGGAAAACACAGCAAACAGGAAGTAGAGGATATTAAGACATTCTTTATAGAGTTAAGTTTTGCACACATGCACACACACATCCCTACGTACATCACATCACACATTTTTGGCATGGGTATCTTAACATCAAATAAGCCAAGATTAGATGAACAATTCCAAAAATCTCCAAATCAAAATATATTTTTACTTTTGAATACAGAATCAAATTAATCTGTAAATATCCTGGTTTTTCAACTTTGTTTTTGAAAAATCTTGTACTACATTTTAAAAATTCTTCTTTTCATTTGAGGTTTAACGTAGAAAAAGCAAAATATTAAATATTACTAGTGACATCCAAGTTGCTTTTTATTCTAATATAGAGGAACTATAAAGCACCAAATATATTTTTTAAACTTTATTAATAAATGCCAAATGGAAGTGAAGAAAAACAACTTAGTCCCCAAAACTGCAAACTACAAGGGAATCATATTTAAAGAAGGAAAGAAAATTGTTTATCCTCGCACACACACAAAAATGTCCTGGATTTCACAATACATAAATTAATAAATTATATCTAAAGTAGTGTTCAAAGATTAGAATCTGCTGGGGGTTTTTTCTTCTAATTATAAACAATTTTTGAATGATACTCTTTGCTTCCTAATATTTCCTATAGTCTAACATATAACATGTATTTTAGCTTGTAATTTCCCCAGGAGTGGAAGAGACTGCATTGATAATTCGACAAATCGCTGACCACAATTTAATGACCTCGAAGAGAGACCCTCATGAATGGTTGGATAAATCCTGGCTTGAAGTTTCACCATCTAAGGTTTATTTCCAAATATATAACTTAGATATTTGCAAAGCAAATATACATACATGTACTTGAATTCTCTTTCTGGTAGCATATTCTTGTTCTGTCACAGTTGTATGAACATGTATAACAATAACCATGATGCACAACATCTATTTAGATAATTTTTCAGAATTATAAGTGTTTTTAAATTTCATAGAACTATTTTAATGGGCTCTTTCATAATGAACTTTCAAACCTAACTTATAGAGTGAGCTAATGGCTTCAGTGTCTAATATTTTAAAAACATAACTATTTTTCTAATTCCTAAATTTAAACATTTAAGAATGTAGATATATCAGAAGAATAGTAAAATACTATCATTTCATGATTTTTCGGTAATTCAATTATATAGTTGAAAGTGAAAGTAGAGTTACGAAATAGTTATAAGATTAAACAGTTAATTCTTAGAAATTCATTTTGTTGAAGCATAAATATTTCAAGGTTCTCATACCAACCTAGTGTTTTTGTTACCTTTATTTTAAAATATATTCAAATCCTGAACCCATGAAAAAAATGTGATAAAGATCTTTATGTACTAACATGGAATGACCTATATCTTACATTGTTAAGTGAAATATGAAAGTTGCAGCACAGTGCATGCAGTACACTCCTAAGTGTGTAAAATAAAGGGAAATTAATATTTATATGTATTCATTTGTAAGTGAATAAAATATCTCTGGATGGATCCAAGAAATAATAACACTGATTATCTCCAGAAAGATTCTGAGGAAATGGAGTAGAAATGGGACTTCTCGCTGTATAACTTTTAGTGCCTTTTAAATTTTGAACCATGTGACTATTTCAGCTACTCAAAAAATAAAATTATAAAACAAATAAAATAAAATATTCATACATATTAAATCACAGGACTGTTACACGTCTAAACAGAACATAGTACTATCAGCAAGTACGGGTATAATTAATTATGACATGTATGAATGTATTGCAATTTTCTTCCTACTACTCACATATCTTCCTGTCCTTCCTGTCCAAGCTACTCACATGTCTGTCATTTGATAAAATCCAAGAGTGTGCAAAAAGCCAGCAGAACCCAGAAAAAATAAAAAAGAACTTGGCAGTAAAAACGGCTGCTACATTTCTAGACATTTTTGAAATCTCCCAAAAACGTGTTTGTAGACTGTCAAGGTCAGTTCTGGTTGACGGAAGTTCTTCCTGTAGTATTCTTCACAATTTCACAATAAGCCTTTCCTGAAATCATAACATCTGTTAGATCTCATAAACATGGTTCATCTCAATCAAATCATGATAGTATACGGCCTACAAAGGGAGACCTAAAGAAATCTTGAGGTATGCAACTAAGTCCCCTAAAAGGTTTCTCATTAGAAAGTCATGTATCATTAGGTAAAACAGTTGTCCTTTGAAGGGAGCGAACTGTAATGAATCTTTTTGGATGAGTGATTAGACTGAATTAACTTTAAGATCCTTCCCAATTCTGGGTGTATAAATCTTTGCTGCCAAACAATTTTCTTTCTCTCCTGGTCATACTTTTTTCTAGGAATCTCAAATTCAGTGGTAGGAGCAACAACAAAAATTTTAGTCTGCTGGAGTGATAGAATAAAAAGACCACTGGCTGATTATTCTGTACACTCTTTTCTAGGAAGAAATGTACCTACTTGATTTTCCAAGTGTTAATCCATTGGTAGCTCAGCTCATGTTAAATAAAGGACCTTCACTGCACTGGATATTGTCAGCAACTCTTTGTCAACTTCAGGAACTCCTACCTGAAGTTCCAGAAAAAGTGTTAAAGGTTAGTTACTTGAGATTCGTATCCTTATATAAGTTTAATTCCCTTTCCATTTGAGTATCTATGTTTACCATACGGGTTTTCAAAACAAAGGTAGCTAAGTTTGTTTTAGACTTCACAGGGCAAAGAAATAATTTTCTTAAACTAATTTTAATATAGAATTCTCACTAGCTGTCAATCACATTATACGTTTTAAAGCTATCTTACATAGATAATTCAGTACAGATTGTTTATCACACTTTAAATCATTTTGTAGTGTTATAGTGCCCACACATATTCAGTTACACACTCTACATCCCTTCCAAACAATCCTGATGCCCTTCATTGTAGTAGTAGCTAAAGAGAACATTAGCCTTATTGGTAAGTTTTTTTAATTTTTATGAAGGAAATGGTATTCATGTGTAACTTGTGTAACTAAAAATTCTATAATAAGTGATTAGAAAATAGATGCAAATTACCATAAGTTTTTCTTTTAATGGCACCTAATTATGTTATGTTCTTATTACATGGATCAGTAAAATCATACCTTTGAATGAACTACTTATTTATATTTTCCTTCTTTCCATTTAGATAAACATCATTATTTGTATTTACTTGACTGATGTTTGTATTGTATTTGTATTATATTAATTAATTTTTAAACTTTTTTTTTCAGCATTTTTGTGGCATCACTTCCTTATTCAAGATTAGTCCTTCCATAACAAAATCACCTCAAATTTCATCACCTCAGGAAAATAGGAATCAGACTAGTAACTTTGCTCCTCAGAGTTCAGCTGCTGGCTCTTCAGATTCTGTCTTTCAAGAACATAATGAATATGACCATTGTTCAGACTTACAAGAGACAGTGCATGAAGACACAAACACCACTTCAAATTATGGCTTTTCCCTTGTGGAACTAAAAGAGATGTCATGCATTTTACCACCTGTGACTTCCTACAATCAGACCAGCTACTGGAAAGAGTCCAGTTGTAACCCTAACATAGTGCAGAATAATTCTTTCCTGGCTAATATAGAATCAAGGAATGTGTCTGGTAATTCCTTTCTGAATCAGAATGATTCAGAATCAGATGTCTTTTCTTTGGGTATAACACAAATGAATTATGAAACCATAATATCACCAACTGACACTCAGAAGAGAGTTGCCCCTAATTTTATAAATTATCAGAAAAAGGGAACACATGAAGCAAAAGGACCTATAAATAAAGAACTATCTGCCCCTACCCTTCCGCTAGCAGGGTCTCAATCTCCTTTCCGTTGGAACTTTAAGAGAAATGTATGGGAACAACAGAAGCAGTCATTCAACTTACAATATGGTGCAGAGCAGACTCCGTGTGACAAATGGTACTCTCAGAAAGATAATTTATTCACTAATCAGCAAAAATGTCTATCAGATGAGTTAGAAGGCTTCATCTCTGAAAGTTCAAATGCTGGGACTAAAAAGACCTTCTGGACAGAATTACCCTCTGTCCCCAGTTTGGATTTATTTTGTGCTTCTGATTCTAATGTAAATGAAAAAGAATTCAACAATCTTTATTCCTACCAGAGAGCTGGAAAATATTTAGAGCAGAAAAGGCACTTTGAATCTTCATCCAACTCAGGAGACAAGAAACCATTAACAGGTAACACTATCCAATAGTTGATAAAACTACTCTCTAATGTAACTTCAAAAGATAAAACCATTTCCAAATCTGAAAAGTTGTTTAATTACTACACTTAAGAATCTTCAAAAACTTTGGGATCAAAGGTAAAATCAAAATTCTAATTATAGACTCTTAAGAAAATAAGTGCAAAGAAAATACGTCAAATTCTTGTAGCTTTAGATAAACTAAGCATTCAACTTAAGAAGTTAAAAATAAAAACAGAAGGCATCTAAGTAAAGCAGAAGACTAAATTAACAAAGACTAGAGAAATTAATGAATTAGAAAATTAGCCTCTTTGTCAAGCAAGGCTATTTAATGAGCTAACATGTAAAAGACCTTATTATATTCCCTTTATGTGGATTATTTAATTCCGACAATCCTATTAAATGGATACTATTATTATCTCTCTCTTTTGTAACTGATGTTTTGAACACATTTAATCATATCAGTGTTTTAAGAGGACAATTTTATCTTCTCATTTCTGATAATTATACTTTTTGTTTGTGTCATTTCTTACTATTTTGGCCTGAGGATCTAAAACAAAATCTTAAGTTCTAATGGCCGTATAACGATGGCCTTACTATGATTTGGGGGTGGGGGTTGGGTGCAGTGGAGAAAGAAAGATGCTGGAAGCTTCAAAACTCCTCTTTTGCATAGGCCATTTTGTGAGTCCTGAGAGGGGACAGAAAATCTTATATTCTTTGTTTTATTGAAAAAGGACTTCCCCCCAAAGTACATAAGTCCCAGGACTCACAAAACTTGGATTTGGTCCCACTTAATGGTCATAATTTGTTCTGTTTCTGATTTTAATGGGAAATATTCTATCCCTAGTTTTATAAGAACTTTTGTGAGGAACAGATGCTGAATTTCATCCAAACTATTTTTGGTCCCCTTTTGGAAAAAATCAAACATGTTTTCTCCATTGACATTAATGTCAATATTTACAGGTTTACTAATAATACATCATTTTTATCATTTTTGTGATAAACCTAATTGGCTTTTGAGGAGTGGTTTTTTTTTTTAAATATCCTATTGATTATGGTTGCTAACATTTATTTGATTTTCTTATCTACATTCATAATGAAATTAATTTATTTTGTTCTTTATTTGTACTCTCACATTCTGACATAAAGGTTATTCTAACTTCATAAGTGAACTGGGTTAAAATTCTATCTTTTTCCCACTCTGGAACAAATTAAGCATGTGAATTACTATGTATTTCTTAGCATAAGGCTTCCCAATCTAGGAGACAATCCTCCCATTTTCTCAATGAGACCTCAGAAATTATTTTTTAATAAATTTTAATATTTAAGCTTTTAGGGATATAGATGGAATAGTCAATGTCCATCTATATTTCAATTTATTAATTTAGTTGTAGTTATAAATATAAAAATTATATATAAATAGAATTGGTTTAGAAATATTGGGTTTTGTGCACTTTCCAATTATTTTCATAAAATAATTGCATTCAGACAGTTCACAAGAACCTTTGAGGCTAGTATCTTCAATATCACTATGGCAAATTTTGACTTTTTTACTGTGGTTTTTCCATAGCACATCATTACCCCCGGATATGTTGTTTAAGATGTAACAGTTTTTGAATTAATATTGATGCAGCCCTAGGAAATTTGTTTAAAGCCACTGATATAAACTCAAGAAAATTTTCCATTTGTCCTTAATGTATATTTGTGATCTCTGTGATAAAATTATCTGCTGCATTGCCTTTTTAATTTGCTTACAATGGCATCCAACTCTTGCAATTATGAGATTTTATCACTGGGAATAATTACTAAAATTGTTTAAAATACTTTAGCCTCCCATTTCCTTGATTCAATCAATCAGCCCCTATAAGTATCCAAGTCTAGAATATTTCAGACTAATGTGTCACATATAATACAGTCATAAAAGGTGAGTCTAGACATGATCACCAGCTACATATATCAGAGCTCAGGATAAACACCACAACATTACAGATATGCATTAAGGAACAGGCTTAATGAAGGGAAATTTAAAAGCAAGAGTCTTAAATGCAAGGAGATTTAATTGTACAAGACATGAGCAAACAAATATATGTATCTAACACTAATTATTATTGGGCCATTAGGAACAGGTGCATTTATGCTAGCAAACATAATTTTTAATAGTCATTATTTTATCTTGTTTGGAAATTTTAACACTTTGTATAGATAGATGGTGAAAAGACAGGATCCATTTGAACAGCTGGGAAAAAAAATAGCTACACTTATCACTCAGCAATAAAATGGTTTTCCTTTTTCTCTTTTTAACAGATTTCACGAGTTCACCACTACCGCAATTCAAAAAACGTCGTCTAGTGTATGAAAAAGTTCCTGGTAGACTTGATGGACAAACTCGTCTAAGATTTTTTTGAAAGAAAGAATATTGTGCTACATGCCACAATGCATTGTTTCTTTTGATAAACCGGTAACAAAATGATTTAGATTTACTAATATATCGAAGAAAATGCAGTTGTTTTTAGATGTTCGTGGTGATTCTATATTAAATTTTCATAGTATATATTTTGCCCTATAGTTTATATCTTTTTAAGTAAAATATTCTAATTAGCATAATATTGTTAAAAGATCCAGATTTTTCCCAGATTCACCCAGCCTTTTTTTTTCAAAGAGAAATAGAAAACCTCACTGTATGTATGTAAAAGGCTTATTTTGTTGTCTCCTGAGGGCTCACTACCTCCCAGCTTTCCTCCAGCAAGCCTTTCAAATGAGCCTCCACCTCAGTCTGACCCTCTGAGTCTGAGCTGAAGATCACCACAGTCAACCCTCCACCACCAAAAGAGTTAAAGCCTAGGGCAAAACTGAAGTTAGAGAACTTCCAGTTTAAAATGCCTTCATAAACAAAATTTTCAGACAAATCACTAAGAGAAAATATTTGCAACCCACATGATGGAAAAAGGGCTTACATTCCTAATATACAAAGAATTCCTACAAATTGATAGGAAAAAGACAACCTAATAGAAGAATGGCAAAATATATGAACAGATTAAACACATAAGAAACAAAGTAGCCAATAAACATTTGAAACAATTTTCAGCTTCATTACTTATTAGGCAAATGCAAAGCACAACAATAAGTTACTGTGTTTTCACCTATCAGATTGGCAAATTTTTTGAGAATTCATCATATCTATTGTCAGCATGTGGGAGGAAGAACACTTTCCTATATTGTTAGCACAACATTTTGGGAGGATAGTTTGCATATTTTTAAATGGATGATTATAGGTTTTTAATTACTATACTATTTGTATTCCACTGAATACACTTAAAAGAAAGATGTAATAATTTCATTTTTAAATGTCAGAATGTCTAATAAAATTTTATTCTTTGCAACTATTCAAAATTATGATGAAACATTTATATGTCAATGATTTTTGTCATTATTTTAGCAAAAATGTTTGAAGACCACAGGCATACTGTCTCACTTTCCTGATTTCTGAAATTATCACCTTGTTGCTACCAAAATTGACCTCTACCTTCTTGGACCCAAAAGACCTACAGACACCACCTTATGTGACTTCTCTTCAGCGTTTGATACTGTTAATCACATCCTCCTTTTTGAAACAGACTTGACTTCACATCAACTTTCTGCCTTTCCTCTTCTCTTTCTACTACACTTTCATTTATAAGATGTTTGGTTTCACTTGGGTGTGTAGAGGGTGGAGACTTTAAAGAGAAACTATTTCTGGAAATCTTATTGGAATTTCTGTTGTACTTTAAGTTTCGGCAGGATTACTCCCAAACTAAGGTAAAGCTAAGTCTTCCCAGCTTGCAGATCTCCTTGATCCCGTCTTTAATCAGCTTCCAGAGAAGAGGACTTTCTCTACAGGCCCTGGAATGGGGCAAGCTCAGGCCAAGCTGCCAAAACCCACCTCCCTGCTTCCTCACCGAATGGAGAGAAAGCATCTGAGTCCTCCTGCCGGCATTTCTCAGTGATGCTTGGTGTTTAAGGGCACATTCGTTGTCCCTGGGCCCGGAGCAGCCTCTTGTGCTACGGCCCATCAGAGGTGTTACTGGGCGGCAAGTCCTGTGTTGGAGGCCTGGGAACAGTGGATGAAGTCAGTGAGCACTGCTCCAGCAGAGCACTCCCCAGGAGCCAATGTCACGTGACAGTTTGGGTTGGTTCACAGGAGAAACCTGAAGGGTCTGGACAGGCCCTTGTTAGGGAACCAAAAGTGTCAGTCAACCTTCGAACATCCTCTCCCATACACCCCATTACATGGGATTATTTGAAACAGCCCCAACTTCCCAGGTTGGCTCTTGCCATGGAAACTGATTCTTTTTCTGACAGCATTTCCCCGTGAGGTTTCTCGTGTCCTAAGGGTGTTAACTTGCCCGGAGATGCGTGGCTGCTGATAGTGATGCTCACCTCTGAGGGCACTTGAACGGCCTTACCTCAGCTCCTAGGCCCAGCCCAAACTTTGTAGGACCCACCAGAACATCAGCTGTCCCTTCCAACTGTGGAGGCACAGGATATCCCTTCCCTTTGTCACTGACACTCAGCGTACAACTGGGGGTCAACACCAGGGTGTCCCACCCCTTGCCTCTCATAGGAAGAACCTGGTTATTCTCCCCAAATAATAAGCCTGCCCTAAAGCAAAGGATCCAACAATTTTAATAGATAGAGCAGACTGGCTTAGAGAGGGTGAGAAATACAAACTGTAGCAATCCACAATGAGGGCTGAAAAAAATTCACTTTTCTGCCTTTTGTTTTTCTATTTGTTTTTTACAATTTTTATCATACAAGAGTTTTTAAATTCAATACTTAAATTATTTAATTTGATCGTCAAGCATACATATCTTTTCTTTTTTGAGTTCTGAGTTTCCTGCCTTGCTTAGGAAACCTCTTTCACCCTGAAGTTACATAACTATTCTCCTAACTTTTCTTCTGCTGCTTCTGTATTACCTTTCTTTAACCTATGTGGAATTTTTTTACATAGTATAATACAGGCCTTTAATATCCTTCCAAATGGATAGCCAGTAATGTCAGCACCACTTATTATGTTAACTACACTTTCCCACTGAATAGAAAAAAAAAGTCAAGGCTATTTCTGAACTATTATGATCCATCCAATCATCTATTTGTCTATTCTTATACCATGAAAATATTGTTTGTTTTGGATTTTTTTTCTTAATTTTTTGTTCTTTTAAATCATATTGTTTTGATTCAGCAGCTTCAAAGTGAGTTTTGGGATCTAGTAAGGCAAGTTTCACCCTCCCATGTTTTATACACATGGATTTTTAAAAATTATTCTTAGACACTTGATTTTCCATATGAACTTTTAGATGTTTTAATCAGTTTCCCTTTAAAATGAGGAATTCCACTAAATTTATACAAGAATTTTAGTAAGATTACATTTTAATGAAATTGTCCTAATGTCCTCTGTTCTATAAACATCAGTAAAATCTTTTCTTTATAACTCTTGCACTTTCGTTAAATGTATTCTCAAGTATTTTTTGTCATTAAAGTGGAAATGGGATACAGTTTCCATTTCCATTTCTAACTAGCTATTGCCAGTGCAGAAAATGCTTTTCATTTTTCCATATATACTTTGTATGCAGCCAGACTTCCAAACTGTATCATAAATTCAAGTATTTCTTTTACTATACTCTGAGTTTTCAAAGTGTACAATTACATAATCCATAAACAGTTATTATTTCTTCTTAAATGTTAACACCATTTCCTTTTTTCATCTTACTGCATTAGCTAAGACTTCCAAAGTGGTTTCATAACAGTGGTGATTAAAAAGTATCTTGTTTGTTCCTAGAATGATGAATGAATGCTTCCACATTTCACCATATAATACGAAATATGCTGTTGGTTTTGCTAAACTGTCTCTACTGTCTTTAATTTCTTTCTCTTCTTATTTCACTAATCCACTAAGTTTTTATTCAGAACAGCTATTGAATTTTATCAAATGACTTGGCTTAGATTCTCTTCTTTAAAACCTTCATGTTATGAATGACATTGATAGATTTCCTTCTACCAAACTAGCTTGTCAGGTTGTACCTTCTCTTGATATACTACTGAATTTGATTGCTTATATTTAAGACAGTTACATCTATATTCATAACTGAGATGTCTAGTTTTCTTGTAATATCCCATCAAGTTTTTGCCAAAGGGCAAAGTGAAATCAAGAGGGCTTTTTGACACATAAAAAGCTGTAAGTAAATAATTAATGTATACAACTTAATGAGTTTGGAGGTAAGTATATACCTATGAAACCACTAACACAATCTATGCTACAAACTTACCCATGACCTCCAAAAATTTCCTCCCGCTTTCTTACTTATTATTTTGTGTCATAAAACAATTAGCATAAAATCTACCCTCTTAGCAAATTTTAAGTATACAATCAGCACTGCTAACTACAGGCACTGTGCTGTACAGATCTCTTCACCTTTTATAACTGAAAATTTGTTTTTTAATGGAGTTTTTTTTAATGCTTATTGTTAAGATGGAGAATGGAACATGTTCAAATGCTGACAAAAAGGATCCAATAGAGAAGTTGAAGATAAAGGAGAGAAAGGATAATTGAGAATGTGTCATTTCAGAGAAGGTAAAACAGATCCACAGAATAAGAGGGTTAGAAAAGGGACACCTAAATTTGGGGGGGGGGGTGGAACACCTAAATTCTGATCGAATGGAAGGCTTCAGATCACTTAATTTGGAAGTGTAGCAGTCAGAAGTTAAGGGAGTTCCCATCTAATGGCTTCTATTTTCTCTACTATAATACTACTTATGTTCAAAGATATTTTCATTTATTTATTTTTAGATTTATACATAGCTATTTCAAAGAGAAAATTTTGCCACTAACTGAGATATTTCTGCATATTATAAATATATCTATTTTGACAAAATTCTACAAGGGTTTGTAAACAAAAATTTTACCTTTCACTTCCAGCACTCAATCTCACAAGCAAAGAAAAATCTATGAAGCCTTAAAACAAAATCAGACACAAAGGGTTGCTGTCATAGAAAATGATGAATTAAGCAGAAATTTTATTTCCAAGTTCCTCAAAGACTATTACAAACACAAAGTATCCTTTCAAAAATGTCCCAAATTAAATCAAAGGCACATCATCAAAGTAAAACACTTGTGACATTAAGAATTCCTTTAGGTTGTAATATTTTCACACTACTTTCTTTTTACTCATTTGCAATGTTCTGTAAATCACATTTATATACTGTTTTAAAGACATGAAACAATGTGGTTTGTTTCTTTGTTTTTTAAGTATAACCACAACTATAAAGTAGAGCAACTTAAGAAGACAAAGATGAAATCTACTTCATATACAGGGTGGGGCAATCTAATACACCATACAACATTAATCTTTCCAAAAGGGTTTGCTAAGAAACATGCTTAGTGTGAAATGCTTAGTGTGAAAAATAAAACCATATTCTCATTTAGAAAAATCAAGACATCATTTGATTAACAAAGGCTATTTTTCCCCTAATTTTATACTTGCTTGTCCTCATTTAGAAATTGTAAATTCATGAAAAAACAAATTTTGTTACGTTACCAAAAAATCTTAAGAACAGCAAATTACAAATATTCATTTTTTAACCAACAAAACTGTTTTCCTTCCTGATATATAAACATCCAGTAAATAAAACATACATAACATTACAAGTATAGAAACATTAGTAATTCACTT